GAACCTATGTTTGGCTAGAGTGATATTGATTCAACATCAGACGGATAATAATACTGACAGTGATTTAGTTAAATTTGGTGAAACAATCGAATTGAAGAAACTTTTTGATGCACCGTATGAACAAAAGAATTGGATGCATGTGCCTTTAGCTGTGAATGAAAAACCGAAAAAGCATTCTCATTGGTTATTATTTGTCTATCAAGTATCTCATGCATTACAACTTGTATGGGTAGATCCAAAAACTGGCAGTACCATGTCATACGACTGTTTGCTGCACTCACTACCACCTGTGAATAACATGCGTGGATCCTCTATGTTTATATCAGAGACTAACAACACATATCTAGGATTTATTCACACATTTCAGCCACATTTAGCATCTCGTGGTGGTCTTGTATTGAATATCTACCATTCCTATTTAATCAGATTAGCTAGAGAACCAATGCCGAACACAACATCATGGAAATGGACCATCACTCATAAAACACCGCCTTTAGCGATGCCGATAACGAAAAATGAACATGCTCATCGAATTCAATTTGTAACAACAATAACTCAACGCGATTCTGAATTTTGGATATCGATGGGTGATATGGATTGTGATTCTCATATTCTTCGAATCCCAAAAGAATCTCTTCTAAAGTTATTACATTGATGATACTTTCAAATAAAAATCACGTTGATCTCAAACCATTTTTGTTTAGATTCAGATAGACGCGAATGATTTTCACAGCATAAACTTTATATCGAGTTTTTTGGCAAATGTCCGTGGTTAGTTCTGTTTTAGATCGATGAACTAGTGGTGAAGCCAGGTTTTGATCTAGAAGGAGATCATACTCCAAAGTGTTTTTCAATCCGCCTTAAGATGCATCAATTTTTTTTCTTAACCCAATGCAGAATAATATTTTTGATAATACCTTTCCCATTAACAGAAGAAAATTCAACTACATAATTAAAGTCAGTTTGGAAATTTCTTTGTGCCAGTAATATACATAAATCACTTAGACATATATCATCCATTGTGGGTCTGATACTTGTTTTTATTGTTTTAATCCTTGAAAAATATCTTTCATAGGTAGTTGAAAAGACATGTTTTCACTTAGCACATTGTACTATTAAAGCAACATTCGGAAAATCTTCTTTGCATAGGAATAGTTTATAATAGAATTTTTTCATATTCGATAATTGCATATTTTTCAACACTGATCTTAGTACATTCGAAAATGAGTCGAATGTATTAAGACGATCCTGCATCATTATCTACTAATTCTTGTGATGCTATAATGATCGCTGATTAGAATTTAATAATGAGATATATTAGCGATCATCTACTATACCGTTGTCTATATGATTGTCGTTAAGGTCTCTTAGTGTATCTGTGATGAAAAGTAAATAATAAACATACTATATTTTATAAACTGAGCTAGAAACTAATGTACCCCATGAGTGTTACACGCAATATTTTTATGAATACTGCCTCCATGACTGGTAGCTTGACATATACGAAAATATAGAGAGGAAATGTGTTTTTATGTCATCGAGGAGTAAATACGTCGATTTCACATCTTGAAATGACAATATCACGGATATTTTATCCTTGCCCAAGTCGAATAATACGGTCCGTATGTGATCGTTTACGGTAACGTTATGGTTATCTGTAATGATCGACCTTGGTGAGTGACATTGATAATTGCATTTAAGTTGAATCACCTTGCTTACAATCGTTTCCATTCTTATAAAATCGAGCATAAAGTTGTATTTAGATGTCAGATAGAGAAAGTAGTCAACTTCGAGATGATCATTTGTTGAAAGCAAGTTTGCGATTGCTTTCTCTGGGTATTTTCGGTGCTTTCAAGTTAGATCCTTACACCCTGATCACTACTCACTTTTTATTTGTGATTTTGATCGATGTTGCCTTCTAATATGGCTAAGACACCATATATGTCAAACTTGAAACTTGAATTCAACTATTCAACTATTTGCAGCTAGTGTGGGTGTCATGAAAGGACTGAGGGAATAGACGACAGAAACAAACACACACACACATCATCACAGCAAATGTGGGTGCCAAGAAAAGAGATGATTGAATACTTGAATAGTTGAACTTCAAGTTTCAAGTTTGACACTACTGGAACTGTCAAGACTAGAAATCGAACACTATCAAGGAAGTGAAGTTATGCTTAATCAACAAGAATACTATCTGGTCACTGATATAATAGATTCGTAAGCTAATGGAGGAAGACTTATGCGACAATAAAGCAAGTGAATAGATTCATGTAATGAAAGTCTTGTTTGCAACATCGATTGCTTTGATCTATATACATTTTTCATGGTTATTGCCTCCTTGAAATCTTTCAATTCTAGGCAAATACTGAATATAGTGTTCGGATTAAATTTATTTTAAGAAACACAAAAGACAGCATTGGATCCTGTGCACACACAGAAGCATAAGTGGAAAAAACTGTTGTTAAAAACTAACAAGAGGAACATTAATGAAGGTCTGAATGAGGTAAGTGCTTTTTTTCAAGCGATTTGTACGTAACCATTTACCGTTCGACGATACGTACTGCTTCCAATGACAATGGTACCGTTCACTGGAATACCAGATAAGTTTATAATGTCTTGTTGGAGAGTATGTATTGAACCGCCTGTGCGACTGGCAATATTGATCAAATCAGGATTGACAGGATACGAGTTCAACTGACAGGTGATAACCTTCACTGGCAAGGTCACATTCGAGAGTAAAATCATATCACGCGGCGTCACCTGATTGTCAGCAATATGAATCAAATTCGTACATGTAGGACATTGCTTGATACCAAATAAAATTGCTTCGATATCATTTTCTGGCCCATCACCACCATTACCATTTTTCATAGCTGCTTGCATTACGGCTAGCGTTGTATTCAAATTAGTAGTCGGTATGCCGTAGATACCTCCAGTAGATCCAATTACCTTGAGTGAATCAGCTTTATTGTCACCATCATTAAAGAAGACATAGTATTTGATCGAATTTAGCTTATCATATGCTAATTTCAGCCATTTATAAACAGCTGCCGCACATGGTTGCATCGACCCGGTAACATCAACAACAGCAACCATATTGGTCCAATTAGACCGGTTAAGTACATTTTCAACAGTTTGATCATAATTTGTTAGTGAACCATTGAGAATTGTTTCGAGCACAGTTAGATCGGTTCCGGTACCACGATATTCACATACTGGACCAAAATGTGTTGATGGACAAAGACAAAAGAAAGAATTTCCCAACGGTTGGCATGTACCCTATAGCATACATTTATCAGTTACTTTGTCAATATAGTAAAGCCAAAAACACTATGCTGAGTTTCATCTTGTTTAATTTATTTCAATCGAAACATGGATCAATTCAAACTATCCTCAAGTTTCAAAAGCTATATCTGTCAATAAACTTGCTCTTAATCAATAAAAACATCATTTGCAGAATGTATTCCATGTGATTTTCGAAAAAAACGTTTTCGCGCATCATAACTGAGTGCCTTGTATCAATAGAACAAACATTAAAACGTCTGCCTTCTCCCATGTAGTACAAGTCTTTTGAGATTTGTTTATGGTAAAGCTTCGAAGTATCTAACATCAGTATGAAGAAATATGCAATTTTTATGATGTATAATGTGAAAACCAAGGGCTTATTATCACCATTACTCTTTTTATTATCTCTGTTCTTGTCAGGTACAGTTAAACGAATTTTTATGCAACAATTCCCTATTTAGTTCTCTACTAGATACTATAACCCCATTGACGACATGAAAATAACAGAGAATGAGAGTGAGAGTGGGAGGTCGTGTTTGTGAGTGTGTAAAAACAACAACCAAACGGTTGCATTCACACCCACACCCTTAACAATTGATTTGGTGGCTGTCTGAATGATTTTGTCAGCAACGAAAATGTGAATGATGTGATACTGGTCTTGAGACCATACTTTTGAGTAATTTTTTTCAACTCTTTCACATTGTATTTCACTGATTTCGTGTGCACCATCAAATGGCGACATTTGATGAACTGTTATTTTTTCTGGAAAAAAGATGAAAATCATGAACTTCCCCTGGACGTTTTCAACCAAGTTAATACTTGGCGTTGTTTCAATGATAAAAAGTAAAATTGAACTCTGAAAGTCGTGACTCACGTTATTTTGACAAAGACTTCCATTCAAACAAACATTAATTGTTGTTGTAGTTGTCGCTGCTGAAATAGAAAAGGTTTAGAAGATTAGAGATGCATTATCTTAATATGCTGTAGTTTGCGTAGTGTTAAGGAAATCTTCCAGTTTCAACCGCGTAAATGTTTCATGACGCTTTTCTTCAATAGACATTCGCGAGAATGATTTTTGATACAGATAATCACTCTCTCATATCTCAAAGTTGCACTCAGCGAAATTCTCACGGAATCAAAATGTAAGGTATGATGGAAGTACTTTATTTGTAAACGAAGATATTCTACACATTGACCATACTCGTTGACAATGTCAAAAGGCAAACACGTTGGGGTGCCTGTCAAGACGTCTGCCGAGACAGAGGTTTAACTTTCTCACGATATGCTTCAACATTTATTCGCAATCGTGTTTCACATAAGGATTCTATACCTATGTTCGACAATGATAAATCATAACAAATATCAAGCAATAAATTTCTTGCTTTATTAAACTGTCTAGTCAAACGCTACTCTGTTCGACAAAAACAACTCAAGGGTAAATCTTGACTGTTATTTGTGAAAATAATAAGTTCAATGTCAACAAAAAGTTCAAAAGCCTTGAGACAATTGTAACTAAGTACATAAATAGTGAGAAATCTATTTTATGAAACATTTTCTTATACTAGTAAGCCTTACCTTTCTCTGTCTTCGAAACACTTTGTTATATGAAATACAATTGTCTATTGAATTTTGTACCTATAGAACGTTCGCGCTCCTAATGTGACTTAACTACGTCGATCTGTTTGGAATGTTTGTGATTGTAGTCAAGTCTTCATTGGAAATTATGTGTAAGGAGTTGGCTCTAATTATACAATTTCCAGTATTTTCAAATCATCCTTTGTTCACATTATTGGTGCAACTAGTTAAATCTTAGGTTATTTTCTTTTTACAGAGAATTTTTCATAAGAGATGCTAATAGATGAACTTTATATAGAGAGAAAGAGCAGATCCGCCTATTTTTTCTGAATAATATGGGACTTGAAGAACTGTTTTTTTTTCGAAATGACAAATCAATTAGACCTTTCCAATAAACCATTTTTCTCATACATATGTTCTTTGGACAATTAAAATAGATACACACAAAAATGTGATGTATGAACTGATGTAATAAGAAAAACAAATGTAACATTTCGTACAGTTTTATTTAATGTTTTACTTCTGGGATATTGTCAAAGCAAAATGATTAAGGATCCTACTTGATTATAGCAAAACCATATGAAAAATTCATCTCCAGCGTTCAATAGAAAGTAAAGTGAATTATGATTGAAAACTGAGTTGTCATAATGTTTTCAGACCTTGATATGGTCCTTTTTATAGTAGTTATTGGAACAAACAAAAGCATAATAAAAAGGGCGGGGAGTGGGAGAGGAAAAAAGGCATTGCGAACGCTTGAGATGCGGTGGGGTCGATGAAACTTCAATTTTGTCCTATATTGTCTCAAAGTGACACAAACAAAATAATACTAATCTTTCTCTCCCTCAAAACTGTCAATGTCATTTCCAGTAGAACTGGTACATTTACTTATTGACTGGCACTTGGTAAATGATATGCTTATTTATTTACCAGTAAAGGCAAATATCACTTTAACTTATTAACTGATGAATCAAGAAATGTGTATTTAATTATTTACTAATAAATAGTAAATTTATATGTTTAATATTAGCTAAGAAGTAATGAGGTAAATATTTGATTTATTTTACTTTATTTGAGTAAGAAGATAGTAAAAATAAAGTCGAGCATAATTTATTTATCTTAACCTTAGATACATAAAATCAAATAAATAAAAATTTGACTTATTTACTAAGAATTATGTCGAATCATCATTTTCTAGTAGATAGGTAAATGCATTTCGACTATTCACTAATAAATAAGGAAATGGTATCCAAATTCTACGTGTAAGGTGACTTGAAGGAATCACGATCTTTCATCGAAAAGATCACTAAAAATTTTATATCTATTCAAAAAACTGGTTTTGGGCAGCTATTCTTCTCACATCAGATAAGTAATTGTTCATCAAGAGCTACCTAGTGCACATAGCCTTGAGTCAAGTCCACCTTTGCAGATCAAGACATTTCTTTATTAGTAAAAATAACAAAGGCATAATCGTGGTATTCTTCGAAGAAAATTAGATTTCGAACGGAAAACGAGGAAGAAAAGGTGTACAGTTTTCGTTATGGAAGCGCTAAAAGAAGCACTATATTGAAAAAATTAGATACATCAAAATACTTTCGACGGTTCCAATTTCAGAATAATAATTTCGAAATCTTTGTAGCTTTTTTGATTATGTCGGAGATCTTTTATGCCTTGATAAGTTAATTTTCATCAGTCAGAAACCTTTCATAGGATGGATGAGGACGACGAGAAAACTTGCACACATCCTAGTCCTTGTCTATGTTTACCCAATCGCTAACTTCGTAGTAAATATTGTCATATTATTCTATTTAAAAGGAAAATGTGTACAAAATAACTACTGTAAACAAGGCACACTGAAAGATTATGTTGATGGAACACTGGATTTATAGTATTTTGACAGTAAGTCGAATTTAGATAGAATCGTTCGAAACTTAAATAGAAACATTACTAACTATTCAATGCAGCGAAGGCAACACCACTAACGTGTGGGTGCCGAAAAGGCTCAATCCTATTTGAATTATTCTCAGTTCTACTTTTTTGAGGATCTCGATAATCTTCTCACCTATCGCTGGACATCGTTGAGAAGAAGCACGATTGATTGGATAACAAACAGGAATGCCACACCGAGTGTTGTTGACACATACAGTATTGGCTGCCGCACATGTCTTATTATCATTTTGACATGGAACCAAATCTTTACATGACATAACTGTATCCGTACACATTCCTCCACCGGTCATTGCCATCATCAAGCATTCGCAGTCAGAATTTGTTGAACATGGCGTTGATTTCGCTTGACAATATGGTGATGGACAGCATCCACAAGAAGTAGGTTGTGAACTGATCGTGTCTTGACCTATAATGTAGTTCACAAAAAAAAAACATGAAATAATTTAAAAAAACACTTTTGGAGATGAAGATTTGAATAAACCACCACAAAGAAGTAAATAAGATGAGTTTCATGAACTCATAAGGGAAATTTGTCTAAATGGCTGAATAAAATAAGTTTTTCATACCTGTAACAATGCAAACAACATATCTAAAAAGGCATTCTATATCAAATTATTGATTTATCATGACAAAATTACTTACATTGCTGCGACTACTTGAATCAGAAGCCGTTGCATCGTCGTGATTAGAGAAATGTTATTTGATCGAAAAGATTGCAGCTTTTATATACAAACGAGTTCATTTCGACATATTTACTTTCATGAGTCAGAAAAGATGCCAACAGCAGACTCAATGACGTTTATTCACATCGATTCGTAGATTCCAACAACAAATGTTTTACAGCTACTCAGTATGTAACGTTAGTTCCGTAAAAAAACATTTTGCTTTTACCTTAACGGTTGAATAGATGCATTCGAAAAAATGAAAACAATATTGGTTGAATAATTCTTTTAAAAAGCTTTCGTAATATTGCTATGTATATATTACCTGGAATCAAATATTGATTAGAACGCAATAACCATTAGTTTTCTTTATAAAACTTATGAAAAGATATATACTTACATTATGCTGAATTGAGCAGCCTGAAAAGATATTTTTGCATGAATGAAAGCAATACAATATGAGCAATAGACAGGAAAAAGTGAAGTATGTAAATAGAAAGTAGTTTTTTCAATAGCTGACTGTATGATAAACATGAGAAACTTGAAATGATTGCACACTATTATGTTGAAGAAAAGAACGCCGTTAAAATTGTTTTTGCAATCCACTGATTTTTTGTTGCTCTTGGATGGTTAGAAATTAGTATTACTTATCGTTTAGTTTTTCAAATTTTAATGTGAGTTTTATGATACTTGTGAAACTTAAAATCTCCTATGAAAATACTAAGATCTACGATACTTTTTGTCAAAGACTACAGGATATGCGCCATCCTGATGGAAAAAATCCGAGATGCTCATCATATGGATATGTATGATAGAAAATGATACAGTAGAATAGCATTATACTTTTTTGGCATTACGATTAACAATGCACGCAAACAATATTGACTAGATATTAAACATTATCATTGTTTCTATTCGAATAGTTGTTCACGTTCTATTGTCGTAAACCTTCTTTGTTCGATTGCATGCCAACCATTCGATATCAGAAAATATTCCTATCGATTGATATAGACTGAAATACGTTCGTGCCGATGACAAGGTTTCCTCGAATTACGTTCATTTGAGGATGAATTAACTCAATATCAACGTATTTCGATTACAAGCTCCATCATCTCTGATCAAGAAATAACTTCATTAATGTATTGCCATAATGCATTGAAATCAACAATAATCTAAGAAACGTTTGAAACACTGCAATATCATGAAAAAAAAACGATCTCTTGTGTCAATTAGCTAAATTGACTACATATATAAGCATCCGTAAAGTTTGGGATGACAATCGATGAAAATAGCCCATTACTTCAGAATGTCATTCCTACAATAATACTGGTAGAATCGAACATTGTAGTCGAATTGTAATAAACAATTTTTCATTCGAATTAAATGTCATTTGAGTCGATATTGATTGAAATAGCTACAACTCATACATGTGCTTTATCGTTTTTACGCCGACTCCTATTATTCTGACTGTAGCATACATTTTCTTCAAGTAACGAAATGGCAAATGGCATGATAAAACCAATTGAATCGAATAAGAAATCAGTCTTTCAACTCATCTTCAGGTTCCTCATTATCAAGTTCGTACTACTCGAAAATACCAATAAGCTGTCGGAAATCTTCAAGGCTGAGGGTATGGATGCGGAAGGACTGCAACCATACCCACATCCAAAGCAGAAAAAAGACAAAGAGATATCAACATGGAAAGCTGTGATGTAGATGACGTCTCTTAATGGGCTCTGAGGAGCTCACCAAGAATTCTAAGAAATTCTAGAACCCTAGAGAATCTTGAGATTCAGGTTTCTGCTATTCGCTTCTTGCAAACTTCGCATGGTTATTGCACATGTGAAGCTGATATCAACAGGGGAATAATAAAGTCAAGTTAAATATTTATGACAAAGTTCGACTCAAAAAGAATATGTATAATACTTCATAAAAAGTCGACGAAAAGCTTCAAAGAAAAGCTAATACATCAAAAACTGATATGATTAACATTGCACAAGCGAGTGACGATAAAGTTGCGCAATTTTTGCTTTAGCACAATGGAGGTGCAAATTAATTTTAACTCATAACACTATTATTTGTTCTTTGTGGATCATACTCGGCCAGATGGTTACAAATCAAGGATCTTTGGTATATGGATTAAGTGAAGTATATATGAAAGAATTACCAATAGCTATTCGCGACGGACCGTACATATTTTCGACCTACCATTCTCTCCGGCTATTCGATTTAGACTCACATTGTTTGAATAATCAAGACACTTGCTAATCTGATGACATGAGACTGGGTTCAATACATTGTATGTATATATTTCGATTTGTGTATTATATTTGTGGATCGCATGACAACAAATCATTTTTGCACACTCTTTCTCCAGCCATCTCTGTCTCGAGAACTAACTCTAGATTTTGCGCCACTTGCATATATTATTTTTATGACATTACTTTGACTGTGCATCTAATTAAGATGAATGAAATATGAATCAAATTAATCTGAATAATGATCAATTGGAGTCATTGCTGACTCTGGCTAAACACCACGACCAGAAATATATTCAATGAGAAATCCTGAAAAAATGACACATCAAAAGAAAATCAAGAACCCAATCTGTCTAATTAAAAGGAGGAAAAATTAACACGCCCGTATCTTTTGATTTTTTTATCTATAGCAATAAAGTTATCAATAGTATTAATGTCCCATTAAATATGGACCATCTCGACTTTAGCCAGATTGCTGAATATTTACACTAATACGAAAGCAATCATGAATAAACTCATGATTGGTGGATGGAATAGTAATATCATCTTGCACATAAGAACGAGATTTGAAATGAGGAAGTGATAGATTTTTAAAAAACTTTGTCTTTGATATGAAGATATTTCTGGCTGATCAGATTGGTTATAGAAACTTGGAGAAGGCGGATTTTATTGAGCAAAGTATAACAATTGCTTTTAGTGCAAGGTACTTGGTGCAGCCGTTGTCGAAGATGAATTTTGTTGTTTCTTCTGAAGGCCAGCATTTCCTAATAATTGTGTAGGGACATCTCTGAGTCTTTCTTGAAAAAAGTCCAAGAATTGATCATCATTAAAATCGGGATCGTCACTGTACGAATCATCACCAAATTCTTGATGTAATGGAGTACACGGATCCATACATCTGAACACTCCACCCGTCATCGCTGCAATCTTGGCCATGAACTTTCTTGGTTTCGGATCATCTGATGTATGTCCCATCAGAAAAGCGATTGTATGTATCACACATGGATTTCGTCGTTGTTTTAACCATACTTTCAAATCCGATAAAACTATATTCATATCCATGGATGGTTCGCCACCGGAGAGCAAGTAGATTGTATCTACTTCTTCATCACTAAGTGCCACTTTCAATGCATCATACGTATTTGTTTGTCCCTTAGCTTCTAAATGATCGAGATAATGTTCAGCTTGTTTTAGATGATGAGGTGTTGCCAGAGTTAAAGAATCTTTCCAGAGATGAACATGAGTGTCAAAATGAATAATATTAAATTTGAACTGTGATTGTACACGATGATGAAGAAGCTTATGCAGATCGTGAACAATATACTGAAGTCGATTGAAATATTGGCCACATCGTGTTTCAAATTCGGTATTCATAGAACTGCTTGTATCAATGAGGAAAATGACTCGAGAACTAGTGATCGATCCATAAATGTGTGACTGACCACGCGCTTCAGCCAGAATTTGATCGACTTGTGGTAACATATTATGAGGAAATAAGTGTCTTAATTGAAAACGATTTACTGGATCAAGAAGATTCTCGTCGATCACCTGCAGAGCTTCGAGACGTTCTTCTGGGACCGGAATTATTTGCAACAATTGTGCTGCCTGATCGCATCTTAAACCAAACAGATGATTATCAAGTAGGTGAAGGGTGAGAACGAGTTGGGGCCCAGAAAAATAGGATGCCAATGTTATAACTTGATCACCACTGAATGCTTGTGGAGATCTTTTTATCTCATAAACGAGATGCTGAATACGATCAGCGGACTGCTTTGATTTAGCTAATTTAGATATAAGCCGATGCATTTGACGTTCAGAACGAACACCATTTATAGGGAGTTCATGATGTCTTTCCCATGCATTTGAATGAACAAGATGGAGACCATGAAGACCCATGGATGGTTTTTGAGATACTAAGAAAAAAAAGGAAATATTTAGCTCATGTGCAACAATCATTTCTTTACGATTGTTTCAATCATATTCTAAAAGTGATTCTGTTGTAAAAAAAAATAATATATCAGATTTCATGCAATAAGAAAAACCTTTGGCTTTGTTTATCTGTATCGGTTTTGTAGATATAAAATTTGAAATATAAAAAAAAAAAACATTTGCTGCTCTGTTTCAAAAGTCAAATGTTTCTCTACACAGTTTTTGTGCTGTCTCTGTCCAATCAAACAGGATATTAAAACTCAACAACATGCATTCTTCCTTATAGAATAGAACGTGAATGTTATGGGTATGAACTATTCATCTGACTTATTTTCAATTGTGAATATGATTACGCTGTTTTTGAATGATGTGTATTACTTTTTTTTAATGTTTTGCCCTCCGCTTATGATATTTTATTCTTGATTTCATTCTGTTTCTTTCGTTACGTTACGTCACGTGTCTCTTCATTTCCATTCTTCATTTTACAAAGAAGAAAAAATTGTTCTTTCTCCGGTGAAACGACTACGCCATTCATTGAGAAAGAAAAAGAAAAGAAATACCTTGGCAAAACGGAGCAAGAAAGATACCCAAAAAATGAAGCATTACGTCGTTTTTCAAAATATGTGAATTTCAAAGTAAACTCCATATGAAATCAGAACTTAACACAATCTATTCGACTGCCTGGGGCTTAAAATAGTCGCTCACAGTTGTTTTTTGTCGGAAAAAGTTTTGGAACGATCTGCAATGAGTAACTACATAGGCACGTAGAAAAAAAAGAAACTGAACCTTTTCAAAAAATAATTGAGAACAATTGTATGTAAAATACACGTTTGCTGNTGGTCGTTTGTGCCAAAAAAACGGCCGTTTTTGCCAAAAAATGACTGTTTGCGCCAAAAAAATGGCCGTTTGTCCCAAAAAAATGACCGTTTGTGCCATAGTTATCATGGTCATTGTGACCGCGTTACCGACAGACAGACAGACAGACAGACACAGGTGAATTTCGGTTTCTAGACCCTATCCTTTCAGTCTAGGGAACATACGCAAGGGAGAGGGAAAATCTATTAATAAATATCAGCTGTTTGTTGTTTGACACGAGATGAACGATCACTTCAAAGTTCGGTTATATCTTCGATAGCAGACAGCAGTCCCATCCCTTGTGAAGATACTTGATATTTTCATTTAATCTCACCTTGAAATGCAGCTACCTTAAAGCTGGATCAATGTGATTGTCTATTTTTACTCCAATTAAATTGGGTTTTGTTAAATTTAATACATTCTTTTCCTCATGATCACTAGCAGCATCATTTTGATTACGGGTGTTGCATTAGAATTACAATTAGCATTTATTAACACTAGTTCTGATGCTTATGTGCCAATGTTAATGATTAGTCCCAATACTTTACTATTGTTGAAGTTAGATCTAATTCATGCTAAGAATTAGAGAACGACAAAACCTAAGCTCGATACGTAAACTCAAAATTTTGAGGATACTGAAGCATCCACATTTTCACAAATGCTTCTTGCAGTCACTGGCCTACCCGAAAAACTTTTTTGCTCACGTAGAACAATTCTGTTCTGGAACTGAAAGTGTCATTCCAAAAACAGGACAAACTAACTCTCAATCCGGACGTACAATTCTCAAAAAAGGACAATTTTGTTTTAGGTATTGTGCTGTCAGGTTGAAAGCAGTTTTATTCTATTTTTGGAAAACTTTTTCGCGCATGGCATGAGTTTTAAGAACTAGTTTGTAAAATGCAGATGTCCAATTCAGCTCGTAGTTTGAACCTTATGTGGTTTCGAGATCACGTTTTTTGACCCTATTATGACGATGGCGATTTCAAAATATGAACTGGTTCATATAAGCCATGACCAGCTTCATAGAGACCCAACTCAATGGTGGACAATAGATTTTGCTGAACTACAGGTAGATTGTAGAGGGAAACGTTTTATAAATTTTGGCGGAAGCTGCTTCAAAAAATATTGATCCTTCAATTTTTTATAGGTATTTTAGGAAAAGTCCTAAAAGAGACTCTATTCATAATTTAGGGTTCTAGTGGAATGATATTTCACGAGTGGCTTGATAGATTGAACTGAAATTTTTTACAGGCATAGATCTTTCATTGGTCCATGTACAGTAAAAGTTCCAGATCTCTGCCTTTTCCTAATCACAAATTATGAAGCACAAAGGGTACTATAAAAGACCGTTTTTTTCATACATTGATTCCTGAATAAAATCTCAATGGCTCAATGTTTTCAAACAAAACTGTTATAATAAATATAACTCTCCGAGCGATATGTCTGTAAAAAAAATTCAGCTCAATCCGTCAAGCCATTCGTGACATATCATTCCACCAGGATCTCCAATTATGAATGGGGTCGTTTTTAAGGCTTTCTATAAAATGCCCATAAAAAAATTGAAGGATCAATATTTTTTGAAGCAACTTGTGCCAAAATTTATACAACTCTTTCTTCTACAATATATCTGTAATTCAGCAAAATCTATTGACCACCATTGAGTAGGGTGTCTATGAAGCCGGTCGTGACTTATATGAACTGGTTCATATAAATTATCGATAACTAGACTAGACCTTGGACAGTCTACGTTCGAAATCTTTCATGAAAGGAACAAAACTGTTTTGTTTTGGAAAACCATTCTCAACTAAAAGAGCAGTTTTGTTCTGTTATTGGGAAATTTGGAATACCTGAAAGCAGTTCCAAGTGGCACTAAGTAGCTCAAAGTACTTCAAAGTATTGAAAGTAACTTGAAGTAGCATAAAGCAGGTTCAAGTAGCCTAAAGTTGATAATGCGTATAAAAATTAGTCTTCGAACTAATCTAAGTATTAAAATAAATTATTATTGTCAACTGAATGTTAAATTAGTTAGACTTACCTAAGAGGAACTTTAATCAAAGTCAAGGAGAAGTTTCAACGAGGTTTTATCAAAATTAATGGTGGAAAATCAATATTTATTGTAAATTGAGATATTCTGTGGTGAAGATACGGGTGTGGGCGTGGAGTGTTGGTCCGGGTCTAGGTCTCGGTGCCGGGTGTGAGTTTCATTCAATACAAGATCTACACTGACACCACGCCTACACCCATACCCCACACCCATTCTATTTATGGTTTTTATCATTGAAATTTATCATGGGAGGCTGCTGGCAACCTAAAAAAGTTTCGAAATGCCAAGAAAATGAATGGATAGTGAATATCTATACTTGACAGTAAATTCAAATGTCTCAAAAGAGTTAAATGAATGGAAGCATATTAAAGTATTTACATAAATGAGAGCATGTTCATAGAAATGCATGAGGAAATATTGCAATGCTCTAGCGAAAAAAAAATCATAATCTGACAATTATCGGACTAAAACACAACGATTTATTTATCAGAAATTTGTAGAAAATTTTATTCCAGTGCATCAGAAATAATACAAGTATGATGATTAGTCCATGTTCAAGTTCAGCTTGACGTCTATCTTTCCTGTTAAGAGATAGGAAATTCTCTGCGATTAAATAGGCCATACTAGCATAGAATAAAAACCTATTATCGCAAATAATGTCATACATTTCCTAAGCAAACATATACCCATTATTGCATCAAAGATTTTGAGAGATTCATGTAGATACGCTTGCATGGTAGAAAAGGTATAAAACTTGCATTATGTAAGTCAATCAAAAATATAACCACAAGATATGAAACGAGAACAGTTTATCTGATCATCGCTTTATTAGTTGATTGATTTTGACAAATCGAACTGTTTCTTTTAATAGTCAGAGATAATGTTTTTTCTTTGGCTAACTAATACAAAGCGCTCCACGATCCAATTTTAAAGAATCAATATGAAAAAGAAGTCAATCATTTTGGAACATCCATCGTGCCAAACGCACTATCATAAGCACTCTCATATCTTCTTCATTTTTTGTTGATCATGATAATATGTATACGACGAATTGACAGCAAAAATCTCAGATCCAGGGCCAATTGTTTTGAAATATCTTGCCATTGGATTTGATATTCCATCATATCATCTTTCAAATTCAGTCTGTAGATAGTTGCATGTTCGTTCAATATCCATAGCACGACAGAAAAGATTTCTGAGAAGGCTTACATAATTGAAACTACACATATTCATTAGTATATAATATTACGACTTAAGACAGTAAGTACAAGTACAGATATGTACATTTTTTTCTGTTTGTCTCTCAATGTTCTTATTTCAGTACTTAAGACAAAACTCGACTTCAATTTCCTTCCTGCAAATCGTTTTTATTTATACAAAAAAAGACTGTTATCAAACAAAGAAAAAAACATGCTGTCTCGATGCCTCGCCAGATTATATCGGATCAAATAATGAACACTGGTACTATGACAAGGTACATGAACAGTTTTCAGAACGGATTATCGAATAGATCAAATATCGAGATATGGGGATATAAATTATCGAAATTGTTTATCCCTAGAGGAAATCTGAAGTTTTTCTCAATAAGTATCCTATCGATCATATTAAATTTATTTAATTTAATAGAGCTGATTGTCGACAAGAAGATTGTTTGTGTGAAGATCGCTTTTTTTCTCAGTCAACTCTCATACCAACGCTTTTATATGGGTCAACACAATCTGAATATCCTTTGCTAAGTAGATGGCTTACCTCATCGATGGGAAGAAATGCATTGTTCAATTTTTCCTTTGTCATTGATGCCTATGCAGAATACAAGCATGTAAAGAAAAATCACGTCGTGAAACGATCATAGTTTGCATTCATCTATATACACGTGAAAGTTTTCTCGATTCTGTTCTCAATACAGATTTAGACGATGTTAAATTATTCTAAATTAGATACGATGGGATGTCTTCGTTTTATTATTCGAAATTATTCACATGTTAGTAAAGGATTTCTTGTACCTGTGTATTACGGAATTAATCCATCATCAACAATTATTTGAAACACATAGACATGCTGTTGGTACATGGTGTACGTGGTCTGATTTCACATCGACAAGTGAAAATATAAAAATGGCTAAGATGTGCGAAAATACTTTATTCCATCATTTCAATGACCGCTGTTATATTTAGTTCTACGGTGTGAGCATATGATGCATCAGAAATTTCACAATTTTCGAAAGAAGAAGTTCTTGAGCATACTGGAATCTCTCATCAAATCATGAGCATTGATCAAAATTCATTTGAAAAATATATTATTGAAATAAAAACTTGACTTAAATGTCAATCACTCGATATGTATTAATCTGAAATGAGAAATGATTCTTAATTGCTTGAATTTTATCGAGTACTTAATTCTTTCGAATAGGTCTTCTGCAAGTTGTACATAGTGAGATTACTTTATTTCCCAAGTATGCTCTGAATTACATCTTAAGTCATTTTTCTTCTAGTTAGAAAATCAATTTTCAAGATGAACGATGTTATCCATTTCGGTTGAGTTCAAATAATCGCATTAGTTTGAAAAATGATGTTCATACGAATTGTAGGATCGTCATATTGTGATCTTCTAAAGAAATTTTTAATCTGCCGACGAAAACCATCATTAGAGATAATCGATACATAGAAACTAGAAGCAAAAAATATATAAGACAATAAATGAGTTAATTCAACAAAAACTTTTTCTTGAGCATTTTGTAAAGTTGACTTTAGCCAACTTTGACTGATGTTTGTATAGATAAGTTCAGCTGCAAATGGTATATATGTTATTATAGCAATGATGGATTGTAATATAAGCATCCATGTAAGTCGAGAATCCATGTTTTGAAGAACTGATCGTTTTGCAATAGTTACTAGTGGTCCATTATTACCAGGAACAATTTGCCGTTGGATAATGCCATGAACACTTCGTACTAATAAATAAGCAAGTAGAATCATCACTATAGGTGGACATATTGCTGTAAATACCACTTCAATATAATTATCCAAATAAGCATAAAAGCCTGATAGAGGAGCACATTTTCCATCGTTACCACTATATAAAATAAGTCGATGACCAATAAGTAATAACCAAAAGAATGCACATGTAATACACATTTTGTAAGCTAGTGTTGCACGATTGCTCCATTGACGATATACTTAAATGGGAATAAAACTTGTAATAGCTTTTCCCTGCCACAGAACAGAAGTTCAGTCACGAGATTAGAATTTTTCAACAAAAAAAGAAAATTTATTTTGTTTAAAATCAGCATAAAGCAATGAAAAGTGCAAGAATATATTTATTTCTATTAATTACTAAAAGAAATGATTTTAATCCAAGCCTACTTATATATGTATAGTCTGGAGGACAAAGAAAGTCTTTTCATGAGTTTCTCTATTGTGAAGAGGAGGCGAATGGATGAACGATTATTGTATATTCAATCTCTTAAAAAATGAATGAATGATAAGTTTCAATAATTTACTTCGTCTTAAATGAATGATGTAGCACTAAATATTTATTTACAAAAATATTTTCACTTTTCAATATCAAATCAAAGTAATTATATCTAGAGTTAATAATTTATAATTACAAAATGATGAGAAAAATCTACATAATATTTTTCTATATCGGTTTATATCATTTAATTAATTGTCTTCATGTATTTTTACTAAAGATATACAAAATCATCAAATTTTAACCTTTCAATTTCCAAAATGAATAGGAAATACTATAGAGAAAAATGGTTTGATATTCAATTAGTTAATATTTATTTCTACTTACAATGCGAACGTTGTGCAGATAAAAGTCGATCAATTGTTGCAAATGAAAATAAAGTGAATGAAACTTGGTTACTCCAGACGGAAACAAATTGTCGAAGTTTACAAACGATATCATAACGTGTAGTAATCGGAATTTGAAATCCTTTTTGAAGTATTCGTGTAATCAATACGAAATTAAAATAAACAAAATCAGACATCGCTTCCGATAATAGATAAATTGAATAAGCTCGTTTGCGAAATACTCGAGAACGAAATACTATCATATTTCCTATACAACCAAGATTACCTGTCACCCAAAGAAATGAACCAAACCACATGTTCAATTGATAAGGTGTAGCTAAAAGAGCATTACTAACACTGCTTGATGTTGTATTCATAATTGATAGATTGATTGAGAAACACTATTTTTCAATTGTCTTACTTGAGTCTATCTGTCTGTCTTCACTATAAAAATAGTCGTTTAATAGAATCTAATAAATGTTTTCAGCATAAAAGAATATGTTACAACTATTTTCCATTACGACAATGACATACGTTTCTTTATAATATGATGCTCATCCATTTGTAATTAATGATGAAATGCGAAGCGTAGTGTTCTTTTTAACAATTTGATGACATTTAGTATACACTGTAAATGATGTTTAACTAAGCATTAAATTGGCCTAATCAATAAACATTTTGAAAGTACTATCTCAAAAACAGAGTTCTTTCTACTTTAAGACATAAGTTTTAGTCGTTGTTTGTGTTAGAAATTAGTCACACAATGTAAATTCATATGCTTTATATATGTATATGTACATATATTCTTGTACATATCTTACTGATCTTATGAATAATCAATGGTATCAAGCTTTGTGTATATTTAGGTTCTTTCTTTCCTTCGTTTATAAGAATCATTGACATTTTCACATTTTTCTATATTCTAATTATTTTCATTGATAATGCCAATAGAAAAAGAAGGTACAAGACATCATCATCTTTGTTTAATATTTAGCTAATTTCAAACTCACAGAATATTTTCAAGTTACCTTCCTTATTTTTTATTTATTTTATTTGTGTAGCTGTGAATGTTTTGCTACTGTACAAAAGACATTATTTATACTGAAATTAACTATTAATCAGATTCTTTTGTAAATAAATATTCATTGATTTGATTATAATTATACAGAGTCGACACTTTGTAATCCTTTAATAGACCATAAATATAGTTTCACATCGGTATAATGGTTTAGTTTATCATTTTTCTTTATTCTGTATAAAACTTATTACTTTATCTATCGGATTTCGTTTCTCTAAAATAAACTATATATGAATCTTTTTTTCGTTGTACCAGGAATATCAAAGTTAAATTCCTATTTAAGATTATAACTTTATGATATACGAGATTACAATGCTTCTTTTATTAGAAAATTGCTTGAAAGCTTTTGAATAGTTATAAAATTGTAATAAAAGTATTCCTGTGCTTAATTTTTTTTTTGAAGAAAGAAATAGTTCGTCAGAATGTAATTTGAACTTCACTATATATGGCGAGTAAAAGTCTTCATAATCATATTTCAATTAAATAATATTCATCATGAAACTTATATTTAAATTTCTGCATAATTTAAGATCTTCTTTTATAAAGACATCTTTAAAAGTGCACGTTTTATCACTTCATGTATTTCAGCGTTTGTTAAAAAGCTTTCTCAATTCATTATGAATATAAAGAAATTTATATCATGCAGACATTTCTACTTATCATTATCTTAGACTTATTTTTGATTATATGTATGTGCATGGGTAAGTATCTACTTTTTAGTAACAAAAAAAATGTTTCATTAATATTTTAATTAAAATCACATTCTTCTTTCACTCAATTTTAAAAGACTAAGAAACATAAAGAGACTCCTTGACATTTACAGGTGAACTCAAATTAATTATGAAAGACATCATGATATTTTTTTTTTAAATTAAAACAGTACTTTCTTTTTCTTTCATAGAATATCTAAGAAAAACGTCTTCATTTGATGTAGACTAGATGCGAACTATTCAGAAATTGTTAAGAAAAATGTTGACATCTGTAATCGTATGATTGAAACAAAAGCGTAAATAAAAGGGATTTAACCGATTTTCATAAATACAATAAGAATTAATACATCTAAGAACATATCACTTCGAATAGCCAAAGTAGTGATATAACAGACCGTTTGTAAATGTTTTTGCTTTGCAAGTAAAGTAAATATCATAGAATAAAAGTATAGCAAGAAAAACTGCAGAACTTTCTCTATGGTGAGGTATATAAAGGAAGTTCTTGGAATTTACGAGATCTTGATCAATGTGTTTCAATCGCCAAGTTTTTTGTCTAGTAATGATGAAATTTTCAAAATTTTATGTTTTTGTTCAACATATAATAAACTTGGTGCACAAAATAGAGTGTCCAGAGAGTTCGTAGCCAAAGAAAAATTTAAATATCTTCGTAGTATTTTGATATGCTGGGCTGATATTTTTACCGATAATAGAGGAGTGTTCATAGCTTATATTCACAGAAGAAGTATTGATAAAATCTGTTTTTGACTGCAACAAAGAAATAATATATTTATTCTCTAGACAAGAATAAGCGACACATCGAAAGTTTTGATCACTGTTCTACACTAGTGTTGTTTGGTCTCAAATTTATACAGCAAATACATGTCTTGTTACTCTTTGTACATTTAAAGCTTCAGCAATAAAGAGAATGAATTTGCTGAGAAAAATGCTATATTGTTTTTCTTTTCATAATCTGCGAAGAGTTATTGTTCTTTGTTGCAGTCAATTGTGATGCTTCAAAACAGGTTTTATCAGTGCTTCTTCTGTTGAATATGAGCTCTGAACACTTATCTATTAGAGATAAAAATAAATGCCCATTACGTCAAAATATTACGAAGATATTTTAAATTTTTCTATGGCTAAGGTCTCTCTGGACACTCTATATACCAATATAGTTCGAACCAATGAATAAAGATAAGTTCTTTTTTCTCTGATGAATTTTCTTAGCAAGTTGATCAAACTCACTGTTAGGCAACCATTTTTGTTTTCCACTCAGAGATGAATTGCTAAAGACTCAACTGCAAACAAATAAGCAGAATTCTTACTGAGTATATCACGTAATGTTTTATACCTTAGATTGATTCTAAGGTTGAACATAGTTTTTACTAGTTTCTATTCTCTTTCACCAACATTCATTTACAGAGACTCAAAACAATCATCTGACTTCCATTATCATCCAGAAGAAAGATATCAAAATTATCTTCAATATAGTAAAAATTAACAAAATTAATCAGATGTTCCGAGTAATTGGAAGATGAGGCTCGTGCCTTATGTTTTTCTTTTTGAATCTTGGTTGCAGAAATAAATTAATCCTTCCTTTTAGCAAAATTGGTTTATTTTGAAAAGTCTAATTTTTTCTTCAACTTTTCAAATTAGATCTAATGTCAGATGAATAGGTCTTTCAAGATAGTATAATTAGAATGAACAACTTACTTTTGAATCTAAAAGCAGAAACGTTGTTTTTATGTTATCAACATAATAAAAAAGAAGTAATGAATAACAAGAACTGTACAAGTTTCTGGGAAAAAATAGTTTTTAAGATAGTCGAACACGTTATATGCACATCATTTGACTATTGAGATCTATCCAGTAGGTTGTTTTGATTAAAATAAAAAGAGAAAGTAAGAAAAAACAAAGAATACATGTAAAACTACCTGAAATTATTTCTGCATTGACATTCTGTTCACTCCACAATATCTTTTTGTAATTTTAATTATAACTGGTTTGATTAGGCGAAAATTTTTTCAATTCCGAATCAAAGATTCTTTAGCAATAATTCTTCATCGTTTTACCATACTACAATTGCTGAAAACAATATCTATGAGATGTTTAAGATCGTTACGCCAATTATTTAGTCAACTGACGACAGACGAGTTATGTACATTGAAGAATACGGAAGCAAAAATGTTTCACTATGTGTACATTGCATCAGATAACTGATACGAATATTTCGAATAGTATTCATGAATAAATAACTATCGTATGTCTTGTGACAAGAAAGGAAAATAGAAAGATAACTTGACAACGATATTTGATCCTGATTAAAGTAAACGACAGACTTTTTTTTATTAAATATATTCTCAAATCTTATAACACAGGCACATCTTTTGTTGCTCTACTTGCTCCTAAAATTTCAGTTATACAAAATGAAAATTCGTTGAGAAAATTGCAAATATGTTTTATGTACTGATATGTGATCTCAACAGAAAATATGACTTGTTGCTTTATTTGAATTCTAGAATGTTAGTTATTTAGTTGTCATTTCAGACAAGAAACTTTCGTGGTTATAAGTACAAAGGTATAATGAAACATCAAGAAAAAAAATCTGCTATGATATATTAAGAAACAAAAACTCAGCAAGAAAATCGACCATTGAATGCAATAGTCAAATAGAGTTGTCAGATTAGCATTAGTGTTAAAATTAACTTTAATGTTTTTGTATAATTTCCATTACAATGAATTAATGCCATGCTGTTAGCATTAAAGGAGCGTTAAATTTATTTGTAATAGACATGCTACCTCCGACTATATCTCCGAGAGTTTCTCTTCGTAAGTTTCCGATGACAGAAAAAAGAATTTTCGTATCCACAAGTACCGTTCGCAAAATGGAACAAACTTGCTCGATTTTTAGACCTTCTGGGCTTAGCGTGTCTAAGATTTAGTCGTTGATAATCTATGTATTAGAATTAAAATCAATGCTAATTTAATGCTAGCAGCTTGATATCAATTAATTCTAATGAAAATAATACCAAAGCATTAGGGTTAATTGGAATGCTAATTCTAGTTCTGATACAACACCCTTAGAAACAAAAATTTTCACTTGAATAGAAAGAATTATAAAATTTCAGTGAAACAGAAGTGAATGTTTTGCTACAAAACAACGATACAATCGCTCTCGTTACACATGGCTTTAGCTTTTGCTTCTTTTATCTTTGATTGATATTCTTTTTTTCGGATAGTTCTTAGTGTAAAAAATGAATTAATAGATGTTAGTTTAGCTTTGTTTAAAAAGAAAGTTTTAACTTAATCATCGTATCTGAATTACTCATAGAAATTGTTTTAAGTTTTCAATTACAACTGTTCCATTGCAAACAATAAGCATTTCCCATTAAACTTACTTTATTTTTAATATTAAATTGAACAACAATATCAGAACGATAATCATAATCCGACATATCATCATCTAAAATTGTAACATTTCGTTCGAGCGAAAATAGTATTGTTAGATGTATTTGTTCGAAATTATCGATTGTTTGATCAAAATCATCACTAAATATTGGACCAATACATATTAAGTGAAACTTTATCAAGTTGGGACAGTACATTTATAGTAAAAATTTCCATTTCATTGTATTTAGTAAATGATACCAACCCTACATGAATAATTTCTTTAAATTTGATGTATGCTTTAATAAATATTTAACGTGTTCAAATGTTATACCATCTGATAATTTTAGATGCAGATCAATACACTTAGGTAGCAACGACATTTCAATTGCCATTGACTGTTGTTGTTCATTAGATCTATCATCATATTCTAAGTCATAATCTATACGCAATGATTTAACATTTTGCATAGCAAGAAGTAACTCAATTACATCGTTAAAAGTCAGCGAGTTAATTGATAAATTTTGAATATTGGTTGTTTTATTGATTCTAATTAGGAACAGAATTGTAAGCGTGCGTTGACAGATATCATCAGCGCTAATTATGAAAGATTTCAATGATGAACAATAATTGTTATTGAATATCGAACGAATAATATATTTCTTTTCGTCACAATAATTACCAGGTGCCGGATAGTAGCAAAATATAATTTTTAATGATTGCAGATTTTTTAAAGATGAAAGTTGTTTCCAGAATGTAAACAAATTATCATTAAAAGAATAGATAAATCTAATGCTAATAGGCGAAGTTGAATCAATGGATTCAGGAATATATTCGAGAAAAAATGTCGTAGTTTATTGGCTTTGTTAAATTTTAAGGATCGAATATTAAGAAAATTCATGGATGATAAAATATTTTTCATAAAACAATCATAAGTACCTCAATTTGTAAAAAATGTAAATTTAACGTTGTTGGATCAATGATCGCATCAATTTTTCTATTTAAACTACGAAATGACTACCATAAATCATTTGATTTGAAATACTCAAAGGCTTCTTGCCAAAGTTCTATGGATAATAGCTCAATTGTACTACAGAATGTACCGTATGACATTCTTTTTTATCTAAAACAGGAATTAACAAGAGAAAATACTAAACAATAAAATATTGTATGGATTTATTACACATTTCGTTGAGAATAATTATAGATTCAATAAAATAAATAGTCTCACTCATGTAACATAAATAACTGCCTACAAGACTACTTGATCATATGAAGATCAAGACACGTACACTTAAATACATATATATTTTTATATATAGAGAGAAAATAGAATGCATGGCAATGGAAGAAAGAACAAAGAAGCTATTCGAATTCGCACGAAAAGATGATTTTCGCTAAATGTAAATGAATGATGAAATGTTAACAGTGACTTGACTTTATTGAGGTTGCTATTCTTTGTTGGTTATCTTTGTAAATAACTAGGATGTGAAGGTGAATAAAGGAAGGACTCATAATACTTTTTCTTCTTATTATCTTATTTTACATAGCATTGATGGGATTATTTCAAATATTTGCCAGGAAGGTTGACCACATATATTCTTAGAATAAATTGTCTTCGTATTGATCCAAATATAGATCAAAAGACCGATCAGTGGCTACACATGATATTGGATATATTAATAAAAGCCAAGTAATGACATACACCTATTCACTAAATTACTGATTAAGTTTATTTTTTATCTTTTTTCAATTGCAGCAAACATTTATTAATTTGGGTCTCATTCTAATAACTATAGTAAAATGTAGTTAGTTGTCAGGCATAAAAGTAAGGTTTCTTTTGAATTCAATTTTATAATAAAGAATGCATTTGAAATTATCTTATTTTTCTCTCATTTTCCGTCTTTCACTGACTGTTAGTTCGACCATAAATATTGAATTAAATCACTTCAATAATATAATCATTTTTGATGATTTACAAATAGACACAGGTAATACTTCTAAATTAGCATGTCGTTCATGTTCTATTGTTCCATTTTACTATCATAGTTGATGGGTTAACCGTTCTTGTAAAATCTAATTGTGTCTATGGTAATGCAACAACAGATAATAACTTTTTGCTTATGTTTAACAAAAATGAAATGCTATTATAGCACATGGTATCCATCATTAAATCACTACTGACTTGCGCAATACTCATAAAAAATACTTCAAATTCTTCAAATATACGTAATATTTTTAGTCAAGCATCTATTCGAGCATTTCTTCACATCAGTAGACTCAATCAATTTGAAGCTTTCACTGCCTTCACACTTTTAGACAATAGTGCTGTTTTAACAAGTCTTTAAGCATTGTAAAAAATAAAAAAAAGAAATACGAAAACTTCAAATAATATTTCTCATTGTCACGTACTGATTCTAAAGATTATTTCCTATCCCTGAACAAAATTTATAAATAATTATTATGAATAAATGGATAGAAAAAAATTTTCACACGGAAAAAACAAAAATATGACTTTTGTTGATCTCCTACGTAAAATGTAAATCTGAGAAATCCATATAATCATCATTGCGATCAGAGTATAGGTGTCAATGGAAATAGATAATTAGAAGATGATTCTAAGACAGTAATTCAGGTATATCCTCTTGTTAATCTACTTCAATTCGTCATATATTCACCAAGCAAATATATGGTATGATATATCTAACGAAAGATACACATTACCATGCAATGTATTTCTATTAAATAAATATTATATTCATTCCAAATTAGATATTTTCCTCTTTAGGTATTGGATTTTTTCTTTGGTGAAGCTAAACATTTCTACAATCTGTGAGTAATACATCATTCATCTCTATGAGCGTGATCTATCAAATAGACAATTTTGAAGATTGTAAAAGAACGACTGAAATTCACTCAAAAGAACTTTCGAATTTATAAGTAGAAAAAGCAAATATTTCTGTAAAAATATTTATCCAATGACGATACTGCATATGTCTGTTCTTTTTTTTCGACTCTAATTCATTAAAACACTGTTAGTTCGTCAATGAGAGACAGGACACATTATAAAAGAAGAAATAGAATATTATAAGAGATAAGAAGAAACAAAAACGGAGACAATAAAAATGAAAGATGGTTGTTATCAGTATCAGTCGTAAATTGTGTTTAAAGAGAATGCAAATTCATGCATTTTAACGTGCCTTATTTGTCGAATGAATAGGTGAGATTATAAAATATTCGAGCTTTTATTGAGAAAAAAAGTAGCTAACATTTCTCGGTGACATATATAAGTAGTCAGTAATGAAAAACTACTAGAAACTGGGCTAAAATTTAAGTATAATATCGTAATGACAACAAACAAATGTTTACTAATTTTTTCTCTTTCAAAACGATCTGTTTCAATGAACTGAATATATGATCAATGAAAGTAATGTTCTAATTATATGTCACTAGAAATCCGTTTAAGAATTTTAAAAAGTACTATATAACTAATTGTTACGTGGAAAAATTTAGCAGACTTCTTATGTCCATATTACGTTATCTATAGCCTTTCCAACTTATTCAAGAGATTTTTTAAAATCAACATACACGTGTTTTATCTATTTTCACTTATCATGTTTCTTATGTAACTATTACTTTCTTGCCTAGTATTCAAATACATTGCGCTGCGCTACAGTCATAAGTCTATTTCAGGAATAGCTCTGTTTAATCGATATAAATCTAAGTGTGATCTTACAAAATGTTTGTCTGTATGTTAGCAGATTCTTATTTTAATAATAGAGTGTGGGTGTGCCTAGTCTTATAAACCTTACATTAAATTTTCATCAATTCTTGCTTGGCGATAAAAATAAAAAGTATTTGTAAAATTAACTATTTATTTTTATAAAGGCTGGATTGCTCTGTTATATTTATGGCCGAGCAAGGGTTTATCTCAATTTAATGTAGGGTTTATTATTCTACGCTTTTCTTTTACAGTGTAGGTGGTTGGGATGAAGAGAAGCCATTTATCTACCTACGCTCACACCCTTTTCATGCAAAATGGTGCTTTGGCTCACTATACGCGTGATGTTCGAGAGTGACTTGAGCAAAAGTTTTCGACAAGAAGGATTGACTGCCGAAATTCGATCGATTGACCTGCAAGGTTGCTTGATCTAATATCGGCGGATTTCTTCTTATGGAAACATCTCATAGAAATCGTATACCAAGGAGAATCTAAGTGTATATTGGATCACAAGTAGTCAATTATTTTAGCATTTCGGAAAAATGAGTCTTAGCTTTGTAAAAAAAAAAGAGTGTGTTTTCGTACTTCGAAGACCGTTACAGTGCATTGATGGTGATGGATATCATTTCGAGCATTTACATTGACTTATTCTCCCAATTTTGTCTGTGTGCATCACTCTGACTTTTCTCGTTGCTACCCGAGGTTACAAACATAAATATATGCATGATTTATTCTGCATTTTTTTCCCACCCGTAAAAAATTTCAATACGTATCGAAGCGAACGTCGACAATTGAAAGCAGTGCTCATTAACGATTATCTTATGAGAAAGAAAAAATAAACTTTGAATACTTCTCTTTCATTGGTAAAAAAAATCAGCTCAATATCTTCGAGCAGAGATGATATGTTTAAATTTTTATCGTAAAAATACATACGATCAGCTCTTGATCTACACAGTGGCGCCGGAAAGCGATCATACACTACGCACAAAGAGCATAAAGACATATTATGATTTAAAATCTTGTATTTCATTCTTTTGAACGATAAGTTGCATCGTTTACAATGTTTTGACTAAGAAGTAAATGAACCTTTGTTAAAACATTTTTAAAATGTGTCTTTCAGTTGAAAAGTGCAGTAAAATATTCAGCCATTTTTTGCACATGGTGTAAAGTCTATTTAAACCGATGTCGAAGCACATCATTTTTAATACTTCTAGTCTGGAGGAGTAAACACATGACATGGTGAACTGATATTTTTCAAGGATAAACTATGGAAACAGAATTACATTTTAGCAAAAACTGAAACCTTATTTTATTGAAATCATCTTTAGATATTAGAAAAACAAAGCTCTCGGTTAGGTGTAAGATCTATTTTGAGTGTCACTGTGCATATATTCTATACATAAATCGCGGACAAAATTGAATTGTAGGTAAAAATAAACTTTGACAGATTTCGTTTTTAATCAGACACAAAACAGCGGTGTAATTAATTTTCTTTTTTCTTTTAAATTAATTTCAATTTTCATTTCCATTAACAGAACGTGGCACGTGCCTGTTACTTTTAAGCAGGCAGAGTATTCATTTGCAATAATTCATATTCTGATGCATAGACGAATGACTTTTGTGACGACATCAGAAAGTTATGTTCAAAAGTATTTTTATGAAGAAGCAGTTATAGGTATTCATTTCTCGAGCATCGAATTCTGAGAGAAGACATTTATTATTCAATCGTAAGGAATATATCAGTTAAAAAGTCTTTCATTGATTTTGGTTGGAACATAGTTCAATAAAAGCAAACAACATAATATATTCATACTCTAAATATCATCTATGAGTCACATCAAATTCCAAGACATATAAAATTGGATAAAAAAAATACTACTCAACTGGGTATAAGCTTAAAGATCCTTTCTTTTTTGTTTTTGGTTGAAGCTTGCTACAATAAATTAGATTTCAATTGAATATAGTGACTGGCGAGCTCTGTAACTTCCTAGATTCAATAAGATTTCAATTAAAGTTAAACATAACTTAATATAAATATATAAAATCAGTTCTATATTCTCAACTTTTTCGATTATCTTTTGTTTTTACATCTATTTGTAGTTCTCGTTATTCGGAATTTCGTCCTTTTAGATTTAAATCTAATGTCAATTGTTTTACTGAGATCAGAAGAAAAATCATAGAATTTCAACTTTTTGATACAGACTACATAAAATGATTTTTTTTGATAAATGATCAAGACAAAAAATTTATTCAAACGAAAAAAAATGAAGGAGCAGCTATATAGTATTGAATCATTCATGAAATATATTCGTTGCATCGGTTACGAAAATAACATCCATAGAAATGTTACTTTGAAATAAATACTATAAAATCTGTCAGTGACGCGTAATTGAGTTTGAGTATTAGAACAGAAGTCTTCGATACATAGATGAACGAATCCAAAAAACTTTGACATTATTATTCTCCTTGACGTAAGCATAAGAAATTTTTCGAAAATATTAGAAAAATATTCTTTACATGAAGGTAATTGTGCAAAGAGAAGACGATAATATGAATGTGTAAATCATAAAAAAGCATGTACATATGAGTCAATCTTTTCACTAATATGTTTTGTAAATAAATGAATCTACTGTGACTGTATTATTTTGCTGATTCAATTTGTAGTGTGGTCTATTTGATTATGCACACGTGTTCTCAACCTTTTCGCATGAAATTTATTTTTCGTCGAACGATAAGTAAAGTTTTTATTCTTTTCATTCTTCACCGATGGTAGCAACACATGTCACTTTTATCTTTGTTTGCTTCACAACTTTTTCTTCTTCTTATATTTCGTCACGTGAAGCTTACACTTAACAGATGAAGATAAAAATATAAATTAAACTACGTCTTTTTTTCATTTTGAAAACTAAAAAAAGACTGTGAAATACATCCGCACATGTGTCAACAACTTGATGTATTCGTTAAAATATTACTTTTGAAGGAGTAATGTCTGCTTTTTTTCAACTGAAATCGAAAACTTTTGTTTTTGTTTCCAGTCTTCAAAGAAGTTATTGTTGAGAAATGCATGTCTTTATGTAAATTAATGATAAGAAACTCGATTGAGAATATTCTTTTCTAGATTTAATTTCTCGAATGACACTTGAATTTCCTTCTTTTCGTGAGAAAAAACTTCCTGGTGATATCAAAATCGTTTGGCCAACAGTGAATTTCCAAAATTCTGTTTTTCTTGATCGAATCGTAGGTTCACTTGTTGGCCTAGCGGTAGGAGATGCACTTGGAGCAAGCGTCGAATTTCGCCCTCAACAATATCTCGCCACCCATCCTCTTAGAGACATGATTGGCGGAGGCACATGGGGTTTACAAGCAGGTCAGTGGACCGATGATACTTCAATGGCTCTATGCCTTGCTTCCTCACTTATTACTCAAAATGGCTTCAATCCTTATGACCAGATGGTTCGTTACAAATGGTGGTATAAATATGGGTATTTATCTTCGACGGGGCAATGTTTCGACATTGGTAACGCAACGCGTACTTCATTGGAAGAGTTTTACGATCGTCAGATGCGACTAAAGAGAGACCTAAGCTGTCAAACCGAATTAGAGGTTGATGAATTGCCCCTAGATTTCATTAATCATGTACAATTTGATGTCAATTGTAGTGCACAAGGCATTGCTGGAAATGGAGCTCTGATGCGTCTTGCCCCTGTACCACTTTTCTTCTACCGAAAACCTGCCGTGGCTGTCGAGTTTTCAGGCCAAAGTGCTCGTCTTACGCATGGCGGTGATGTAGCATTCGATGCATGTCGTTACTATGGAGCTTTGATTGCTGCTGCTGTTAGCGGTGAATCTAAAGAAAATCTAATCAGCAATCAATTTTATGATAGTCATCAAGTTTGGTTTAGTTCGAAGCCTCTTCATGATGACATCATTCGTATCGCCAGAGGATCTTTCAAACGACGAGGGGGTTATAAAGATGGAATTCGAGGCAAAGGACACATTATTTGGGCACTTGAAGCAGCATTGTGGGCATTCTGGAGTACAGATACATTCGAAAAAGGTGCACTCAATGCTGTTAATCTAGGAGATGATACAGATACTACAGCAGCTATTTATGGCCAATTAGCAGGTGCATGCTATGGTTATCGCAATATTCCAACAAAGTGGGTACACAAATTATACGCTAATGAATTAATCAAATGCGTCGCTGAGTGGATACACTACTTGGGCCTTTTAGAGAGTCAACTGTCCGAAGAGGAAAAACGAAATCGCAATGGAAATCATCTATCCGTACCATTAACACATCCTTACTATATGAACACGACAGATTCGAGACAACTAATTCCATCCATTAATGGAAAAAAAATTGGAAAAAACCCACATCATAGGCGTTCCAAGTCTGCTCAGAGGCGTTCAGGCTTCAACAACCTATTTCATGCATGTACTAGAGGGAGTAACACCGATGATTGAACTTTTTTTCGATTCTATCGCTCATAATGGACGATTTATAATATTTAGTGATGGATCTGATTTCCATTAGACATCAACATTAGTGGATATGAATTTCTCTGTTATTTTTGAAAATAATTTATATCAATAAACTGTAAACCAAAAATACTCGAATCTTTCTATTGTATATAATAGGAATCGTCTTTAGTAATCTATTTCAAAACATTTTAGCCGAATAAATAGCTTCAAGTATCGGGTGTCCCAGGGATAATGAGCCTCCCAGTATTTTTAAGATTTCCTGTCTATTATCACTGTAAGTAAAGCTCTCATTATTATCAAAAGATAGCGCTTAAAATTCTCTACAAAACCATAGATGACTAGGCTCAAANTCTAAAATATGTTATACTTAATTTCTTAAACAACGCAATAAAAACGTTACGATTGGTTTCTTTAAAACTCAAATCTAACTTTTGTTTTTTTTTTTGAAAATTTGCTGCTTTCTTCAAATATAATTATTTTAGTTTATGTAAATACTTACACATTTCTAATTTGCTAATGTTGCGTTTCAAAGCTTGATAGTTAACACATTGTGTCATCAAACCAATCTTTTGATTGGCATGACTTTTAACAATGCTATAGAGCGTATCCGTAGTGTAACTATTAAGAATAACAATTGCCAATTGCCATTTTTCTTTACTAGCATCAAGTAAGGTACGATGAATATCATTTTCTCGTGAACTCTTTATTATTAATGATGGATCAGTATGAATTATAAAACCATTGCGTCTTAATAACTGAAAGAACAAATTCAAAATAAAAATTGATAGGCAAAAAAAAAATACAAAAATTTTACTTTTGGTAGTCGATCTTGGAAATCTTCAAGAACATTATTGGTATATTCATCAGGTGTATCGCCAAAATAGATCATTCCCCATGAATGAATTTTGGATGTTGTATAGAACCAATTTCGAATGCGCCATGTACCACAATTGACATATTCAATGACTTCACCTTGACCACGACGACGATATTTTATTTCTGGAGGCGAGAGTACACGTGCTAAATAAAATATAATTCTATAACGTTGTAAGCAAATACTGACTAATCAAGATAGAATACCATTAATTTCAAGCATTTCTTTGTCATGAACATGAATATTCAATTCTTTGAGATAAGGATCTCTCTCATATTGATTGTTACGTAGGATTTTCATGATTTCATTGTAACGGTCTTCTGGTTCAATAATCGTATTTTTGGAAACAGCACCTCGTTGTGATTTATCCAATGGTTTTATTGCACGTTGCCATTCAACTACCTGATGTACAACAAAAAAACAAAATCATCTTCATTTTATTGAAAAAGAATGAATCAATACCGCGACTACTTCCATCGGTAACCAGTTCGGTTTGTTTTGATTTCCCTTTATTCCATTAATGCATGGCAAATGTGGATACATAAGTTTTCTTTTATGTTTTTTTTCAAAATAATCTGCAACACTAATCTCTTTAGATACAGTAGCACCTGGTGTTCCTTCATTGTCTTCATCAATAGAAAACATAATTTCATTGGCAGAACGACCAAATTCATGTAGTCGATAGAAAATTCTGCGACCTGTATGCATTGTTTCAACTAGAAAAAGCAAAAGATTATACAGAAGAAAAATTTAAATCAATCTACTCGATAAATTGCGAATAATTTTTTCAAATGCTTTTTTTTCTCGTTCATTGAAACTTGCAGTAATATCTTTTCGTAAGTATTTGCAAGCAAATTGAACAAAATTGAGTGGCATATAAAAACATGTAAATGTTAAATTGACATTTAATGTTGGTCCTGTTCGTGTGAGGAATAATGATTGATAAAAACCTTTTGCTACACCACGACCATCATCTACAAATGAGCAATAATAGTTGAAAATATGATTTAAAAAAAAAACACTAACGAAGATCATCGAGTTGTCGACGTCGATCGTAAAATTGATTTCGAATGCAGATAAGATCATTTCGAGCACGTTGTTTAAACAATGTTTCAATGGTTCGAACTATCTCCTGTGGACGAACATTCGTCTTCTTTTGAATAAAATCATTTATGCTTTCAATTCTATCTTGACGAACAAGATTTAGTTTGTTCAATTGAAATGTTTTCGTTTCTTCGTCTTTTCTAACTTTTATCTGAATAGGTAACGTCAAATCAGGCAATATTTCTCGTGCATATAATGTTTTTCCTTCGTCGTACCTATGAAGAAAAAAAAACCCACAGTATGAAATAGGTGAACACGTTTGAAAACATGAATAGATTTACCACACAACAGGAAAATCTTTCTTTTCCTTAATAAAGGTTTGTACGACATCCCAACGATCATCTTTACGTGCAGAAAAAGATTTGCCATTATGACCAATCATAACAATATCAATGTCGTACTGATAAACGATAGCATTACCAATGTCAACATGAAAGTGGTTGGTAAAGACTGATATTTGGTCACCTTTTGAACCACCATTATCGGGACGACGAACTGGTGTTAATCCAGCTGAATCAGGTACTGCTGAACATAACTCTCGTCGACGATTTACTTGACGAAAACTTTGAGAACGCGAAGCTTTTGCTGATGCTGTATTAATATGTAAATTTGCCATTGACGCATTCACTATTGAAAATGCACTGGCTGAGCGTTCAATTCCATGTGATGTTCTCTCTGCTAAATTACGTGGTGTAGCAATAGCTCCTGATGTTCTATTGTTATTGTTTTTGGGTATAGTCAACTTTGTATCGACTCGAGCTAAGAAAAAAAAGTAAATTATTTCTAATTTCTAATTATACAATTTACCTTTTCGATTTCCATGTCCTGACATTTTTTATTTGTTTGCGGATCAATTCCTATGAATAGTCAAATTTATGTACTGTTAATATTAAAGCAATAATAAAGGATAATAGATTTTAGAGAATGAAAATTTAAAATACCTTCGTATAGAAAATTTAATAATTATCTTTTTCCGATAAAATTTAAACGATTAAAAATATCTGAAAGTCAAGAAAGAAATTATTAATAATATAATATGTTAAAATATGTGTTTATCAAATGTCGGTATTGTGACTAGCGTTTGATTTAGATAAAAACGCTTGAAATATAATTATAGAAAACTTCTAAATGTGAATATCAGATATATATTTATAAAAACTCATTGGGTATTTCAGTGGGAAAAATTGTGCGTTCTACGCAAAACAATATGACTCATAGAGAAGAGAACGTACTAAAAAGTCCATGTCAATGCAATATAAAAACAAAACAGCGATAGAAACAAAAAAAGGACGAAAAAAAGTGTTGTAAATAGATTAAAAAACAAGATCGAGTGTTTTTGTTTATCTATCTGGTTGATACTCTCCAATATGATGTCATTAATAAAATAATATTTCTTTTTCTTGTTTCAAATACTTTCGAATAGTTTTAGGTATTTTAGAAATGTTAATTTTCTATCAACATTTTATAATTGATCAAGATCTTAAGATGAGAAAGAACTTGAATTGTCAATAATAATTGTTTCAATTTCCCGTATAGAATTCTGCTTGAAAAATAGTTAAAAAAAAAAAGGTTTTTCCAAATAAAATGCAATTGAACATTTAATAAGAAATAACGATCGAAATCGTAATTAGTGTTAAATGAAACATAAATATCATTAAACATGATTGATTTTTATTAATCAATTCGTAAGGGATTGTGAAAAGAAAAGAAGCATCTATCCGATTTTTGTATTTTTCTAAATGAAACAGAACTGATCTTCGAGCACTTTTTCCCATTGGGCAACGCTGAAAGAAATACTTTTTTCAATCGAATAATTTTTATTTCGTGTTTTTTTTATTTCGTTCTGTTATTACTAATAGTGAAAACGATCACGTTACAATCTGTCTATCATGACGTTTTTGGATTTCGTTTTGGTTACATTATTAATACAAGTCAATTTACTGCCGTTCATTGATTTATAATCTTTACTTTTATTTTTTTTTACGTAAAACTCTGTAATATCGTCGAAAATTGAAATTACTCCTAATTAAATTATGTTGATCCTATTTGATTAAAAATTTTTCATACAAAATCATTTGTGATCTCATCATAAAACACACTTTTTGCAATAGGTTTTAATTGTTTATGTATTCGAAATGAAAAATCATTCTAAATAAAAACAAAAAAAAAATAATCGGATATATATCAATTAGATGTACTTTGTTTATTAATTCAGAAGTTTAAAAATAATAAGAACAACAACAACATTGAAGTTCATGATCCATTATTCAGCTTTAATGGTATTTAATTTTGAAATTAGTGTATGAAATCTATCTATAGCGTAATTGATTTTAAAATTCTGATTGAAACATAACTATAGAAATATTTTTATCGTATTCAATTATATATCATGTTGTCATATAATATAAAAAGTTTAGATTTTATGAGGATTTATTGAGTTATATAATCTAAAATAATTATTCTTGAATTTCGTTCATTGTATATTGAGATAAGAACTAAGAAATACTAATCGAAAAGCACTCCATTTCTTTGCTAATTGAGTCATACATAAATTATTATTGTAATAAATTCGCAAGCATGACATACTAATCATTTGTAACTCTCCTTTGAATTTGATCTTTTCAGATTATTTTATTATTTCAACGTGTTTATTGATATCAAGGGTGTGGGTAAGTTTCAGTGTGTATGAAGATAAGGCACCCACGCCTTAGTTCAAAAATTTAGTGTGATATTATTACACTGTATATTCTAACTTTCTTTACTGTTGTCCAGTCAGACAAGGATGTATTTTAACGCGTAAGAATATGCGTACTTTACACTAAAAAGATAGTTTACGGAATTCATTTACCTCAGATTCGCTATATCAACTTTTAAAAAAATTTGGAAGACATAAAAACGCGTTCTTTTATTGATTGTCTCTGACTGGGTACTGGATGGAAATTCAGACGAAAAATTTAAATAAAGAGCACGATTGTGTTACCTGTTGCCAAATGATCGACTAGAAGAGCAATACATTTCTTACTTTATTAATATAAAAGTGGTAATAGCGTACATCTGAAAATAATACCTGCTTCAATTGCTTGCAAAGACTCATAAAGTAAACATCAAATAATAGCATTGAAATGACATAAGTACAAAGTTTAAGTCATGCACGCTCAATATGAAATTTGTTTTGAACAATTTTTAAATAGTTATATAGCTCACAAGCTAAGGGTACAAAAGAATAACCATCTATTTCATATTCAACATCTAGCATTTTATTATAACTGGTTCGATTATTACCAAATTGATGGATAGCTTACTGAGATGGTAACCGGTTGATTTGATAATGAACTAGTTAATCATAACAAAATGTTTTATATAGAATCGACCATATTTGATCCAGACTCGTTTTTGATTATGAACTGATTCGGAGACATTGAGTTTAGAAAAATTCTTTCAGCAATGTTGAAATCAATAAAAAGCATCGCCGACGGAAATAAAAATTTCAACTCAAAAGATTAAAAGAGTTTCAATATCGGAAAAAGACAGTATGTATTCATTACGTCTTAGGAAGGTTGCACGAATCATTTTTGAAAGATAATTAACTCCTCCTTTGTCTTTTTTAAGTATGTTATATAAATTTTAATATAGAAACATAAATGTATAACAATATGTATTATAATTGATGCTTCAAACGTAATACATTCTTCTTCAGAGTTCGATTTCTTTTTAATCTGAAAATAAAACTAGAATTTTCATATGCCATTTCAGTGTCTCTCGTCCGTGTCAAAATAAAATATAATTCTAACGAAGAGAAAACAACAAAAAAGAACGTTCAAACAAGTGTAGACCTATGATTGTTTTCGATCAGAGAAGTGAACTGGTGCCACTATACATCGCACTTTAAGTCGATCATTAAACTTGTAATTGATGAATTCCAGGTCACGTTTGTTAACTGTGCAAGTATACTGAAATAATGCGAACGAAAATTTAATCCTAAGGTAAAAAAACTCAGTTTTCATAAAATGAACTAGTTCATCGAATTGTGAGTTGTCACAGGCTTAACTAGATGTTTGTTCTCATTTAAGAATAAATTTCAACTCTGAAGAAGAACATATTACGTTCAAAATAATATTAGGCAAAAGACAGAAAATGTTGTCCTACTCCCACCTTTAGTCTCAATTCTGAATAGACAGATAATATTTCATTAATTCAATCAATGGAAAAGAATAAAATATTTTTATCAAAACATTTATTCTCTTTCTTTACATCATAACTGTTATCAGGTACTTTTTTCATTGATCTATTTCTTTCACAATAGGGTGTGTGTGAAGTGCGTAGTATCTACATCTACACCCAGGACATTCCAAGATACAAATTTGGTAAGGAATCATTTTCCTTATAGAATCATGAATTAAGATTAGATATATGAGAAATATGTGCCTTATTTCTATATTTTTAGTGTATTGCGATTTGATCAATCGGTTATATACAAATCAAATAAAAATCCAGAAGATTTCGATGTCAAATTGATGCATTTCGAAAGAAATATTCTGATTTCTTTGTCTATCTATTTTCAACAAGAAAAATGGTCGAATTCTTGAGAAATTTTCGAATCTCGAAAAGATCTTGTGTTACATATAATAAAAGGAAAAATTTTTTCGATTTAGTAATTCACAAATACTAGACAGTTTTTGATAAAATGAATAGTACAATAAGGTCTTGCTTTTATTCATACTATTTTTAATTTCTAATGAGTCCATAAAATACCGAAAGTATATTTTGTGAGATTTTGATTAATATCTGAGAAGTTTTAACAATTTATTCAATGATTTGCTTTTCATTATCAGAATACTTTATTGACAATGGTTTGACAACTATACCAATGTTATTATTAGAGGTAAAAATCTTGCAATCATATGTATTACCAGATAATAGACTGAAACTATTTTCAAATTAATGAATTAGTAAAGATAAAAAAATCTGAAAATATTATCGCTTCATATTGAAAAAAGTGAATATCAGTAAAAGACACAAGTTTTTTTTGATTGACTGAAATGAAAATGGCTTAATCACTGATAAAAAGATTTCGAGATAATATTCATTCGACATAGTATTTCTCAGACATTGGACAGCTAAGAAGAACATCATTTTTCTTTGTTCGACTTTGATCTGACTATTTTCTATTGATTATGTCTATTGTCTTAATTGAATCCGATCGAATAGTGTTTCAAGACAATTAATTCGATATAAAATATATTTGATTTCTTGCAATTGTTTTTGTTTTCAATTAATGTTTCTATTCGATCCATACAAATTCAGAAGAGTAATAACTACTAAACGAACTTGTTTTGTGCTTTCATTGAGTTGAAAAATTTTGAAACCAACATTCAAATTTGTATATTCCGAGATCAAAATTTTCTAATTCATCAAACAAATGTGTTAACTGTATCGTAAAATTTAGTAGGGCTATTCTCTTTTCTGAAATTGACAATGTTTTCTATATGCATTTATGTATTAATTTTATACAATGAAATTTCGTAAGTAAGAATGAAAAATTGAATAGATTTTTATCAAATTTTTATTCAATTGAACTAATAATATTTTTTAAAAGTTCATTTGCTCCAAATTCTCCATTTCGTGCTTTTGTTAAACCAAGACGAACAACAACTAATTTCTTGGATGGAATAATAAATAAAGCCTGTCCATCAAAACCACTTGCATAAAACATATCTGTTGGTACATTGAGAAATCGTCGTGTAGACGAATCATTGTTTTTACCTGTATTTAACCAAACCTGAAGTCCATATTCACTATACTGATTAGAACCAGCAAGCGTTGTTGTTTGTTCAATCCAATTTTCAGATAATATGCGTTCATTATTATAAAATCCATTATTTAAATATAATATACCAAAACGTGCCCAATCACGAGCAGTACCCCATGAATACGATGAACCAACAAAAGTACCTGATGCATCAACTTCCATAAGAAAACTATTCATACCAAGTTTATAAAATAATTTTCGGTAAGGAAACGAATGATATTCATTTTCACCGACTGTATGACGAATAATACGTGATAATATATTTGTGTTACCACTAGTATAATAACAATGAGTTCCTGGTTTATATTTTAATGAATGTGAAGCAGCAAATGCAGCCATATCGCTACTATCAAATAACATCTGTGTAACAGCACTTTTTGAATAATAATCTTCTTCAAAATTTAGACCACTAGTTTGCTGTAAGAGATTTTTTATTGTTATGGAATAACGAGGATCATTAGTGTTATTCCATTCGGGTACTGGAGCAGGCTCATCGATATTTAATTTCATATCTTTTACTAAAATACCAATGAGCACACTTATAATACTTTTTGTCATACTCCAACCTAAAAATTTTGATTTTCTTGAAAAACCTGAAGCATATTGTTCTGCAATCAATTTTCCATCGTATACAACAACTACAGCACGTGTACGTATAAGTTTAGTTGGATTTCTTTCAATAAACAAGTTGTTTATTGCATCTTGTAATAGTGTTTGATTGATATTTGATGGAAAATTATTATCATCCATTTTATCACCCATAGGCCACAGTACATCGTCTTGATTTATATTAGGTGGTATAGCTACATTGAATGTTTGTGCACGAATTTGATCTTCTGTTAATTCACTAATTAGTGTTGCACCAAGTCCATGTCGATAAATAGCTTTACGTTGAGCAAAACCAAATAAAGAACTACTTACTGATAAATCACTATAATTTATAGTAAATGTTGCATATTTCATAGGAAACATATTAAGATCTTCGTCAAGTTGTTGTTGTTCACCGTGACCAGCTATAAATAATGATGAACACATAGATTTAGCTCCATAACCATTGATAATAGGCAATAATAACGAATAATAATGAATGCCGTAAGCAAATAGAGCACCAATTAGCAAAAATATGATTTTTAGCATAGACATTCTAGTAAAGTTTTAGCTGTGATTATTTATACTATTTTCGTTGCTAAAATAAGACTTGATACTTTGTTTTATAATCTATAATTATAAATATCAATACTTCCATACTTAAAATTTTATGTAGACCTTGATTTAATGTTTTTATAGTTGTTATCGAATGTAAGATATAAATGTAAAAAGATAAATAAGTAACAGGTAAAAGCATACTTTAATTTCGTAAACGTGTCAAAGTGAAGTGGTGAGAGACAAAGATGTTAGCAGTCGATAATGTGAGTGAAATGTAGCTTATATCCAATGTTTTTTGATCTCGAGCTACACAATTTTCATGCTTTTTTTTGTCAAAGATGGTTCGATATATTCGTAAAGAAAAACAACAAAGTAAAGTGAAATCATCTTTTTTTTTCGAATTCTTTACTTTTTTTTAGTCCATCTTTGGTTTTATGATTAAAAAGAAAAGAACAAGACAATGTTGTTCGTATATCAATATTTGTTTATTATTGATACATATCTTTTGTAAAATGAAAAAAAAATATGCATTTTGTTATTCTTGTAAATATATGGCATGCAAAAATTCATTGTAGTAAACTTTGATATACATTGGTTGTTAAAAATAATGTGTATATGGTAATTGGTAAAATAAACGGAGTAAAAAATCAGGTGAAAATAAAGATGACGAGGATATGGGTGTGGGTGTGATTGCATTGACACTCATCTCAATGACTACACTTCAAAATCATTACTTAATAAAGTTCCAAAGAGGAGAATAAATTATTCGTAAAATTGGATTTCTAGATCTGATATTTGTTTTTAATTTCTTTCTATCCGTAAATCGAGTTATTTTGATGCAATACAATATTCTGGATGAGATAGATTACATAAATAAATAGACAACTAAAGTCATTCGCTTACGAATAATATGCTACAAACGCTTTTCAATAAGTTGCTTCGATTGTTTAACTTCTACTTTCTGTTGCAGTATATTTAAGAAGAATTTCTATCTTGCTCAAAACAGATCTTAATATCCAGAAATCCACTATAACTTTTGAGAATCAATCTTGTGGATAGTTTCGGAGTTTTTAAGTGTCTATTTTGGATTAAATTCATCGTCTCCTATCATGACAAATATCATGAATTGAGACAATGCAAAACAGCTATGTTATTTTTTATTGAATATGAAGTCTTCATTGATAATCATTCTATGTTTTCAACCCATAAGAGATGAATTTAGGTGTCCAAGACTTGATGTCGTTGAATCATTCAGTTTTTTGTATATGCATATTATTTCTCAGAAAGGAGAGATTAATAATAACATCTGCAAGATATTCTGTTAACAGTAGTGTGATAACAAATACATTACTATCTCATTGGTTGCATCATTTTAAAGATCGAAAGCCATTACATGAACTGAAGGAAGCACATCGAAATTGACTAACAACTCCTGGAAACGGATTCATACCTTGTTATCTACAGAATCAGTACACATCATTCCATTGCTCGAACTTAATCAATTCAGATATCGAATGCACGACTCGATAACAATTCATTGGAAGTCATTTGTAGTCATCGTGCTGATCGGATTTCAACATGATGGCTCAATTTATCAAAGACGATAAGTTGAATTGTAATTATTCGAATGTAAAAATTCCGAAGAGTTTTCGTTTATTCTTAAGTTTTCCCTTTTTTTTTCAGAATGTTCAAAATCGAATAATGCCTACTCAATACCTATCAAGAGTGTGCTGATGTCATTTTTCTTAAAACAATAAAACACAATTGATAAAAAGAATTTTTACTTTTCTTTTTAATTTTTGATACACAAATATAAGATTATCACTCTTTGTTTACTGATCATCAATGAAACGTATTACAATGTCGATGAGAAAGTCGTAATAGAGAAAATAAATCACTTATTTCATATCCAATAGTTGTTCATAACCATTTCCCAATACCAAAAAAACTATATGAAAGAAAATATCTTCCACAACCTTGAATTTTTATGAAGATTATCTTTGAAGTAAAAGAAGCAGAATGTTATGTAATCATCTGTTTCGAAGATAATAAGTAGGATGTGGGTGTGAGTGTGTGCGTCTCTTACAGTTCTTCCAAATTCACACTCACACTCACACCCTTACAAGTAAAATATTTACCAGAAGGTGATCTAAAAATTGATTACACATTGCATCAGATAACAGAAATATATTCGTGTATAAGACGGTTCCAAGACATTGTGCATAATCTAGAAAAATGTTTAGTTATGCATTCGAAAAAACTCAATTCTGATTACAAATTTCATGTACCAATTTATGAAGAAGTAGGGTCAACAAGTACGCCAGACGAAGATTTTATTGAAAAACAATTTCAATACTTGACTTATTTGAATAAAATTACTCTTCAAAATCATTATAATACAATTTAAATAGTGCTCATTGATTTGCTTAGATTGTGCCAGTGTCTTCCGAAGACGAACCCTTTAGCACCGTTTCTAATCACATCTGCAGTGTCGGTGATTTTCAGGCATCAAAAAGTACCGTCTTTTTTACAGAAAAACTCTACAAAATTCTATTCCTAATATGTTTGAGTTGCGGTGCATGTGATTCGACTCGCACACATGCGTAAGATAGTTCGTTTTACAAAAATAGAGAATATACTATCATGAGTTTGCCCGAAATTTGAAGTTAATATTGGTATTGTTCATGTACATTCGAGTTAATGTCGAATACTTGCATCTATATTCATTTTAAAAAGTAATGAATGACTGGTTCTTAACTAAGTTTAACATATTGAGTTTATTTGAAAATGATTCTGGTTTGGAAAAAAAAAGACTGACATGTTTCTTGCACTCAAAAAGAAACCGAAAATTCTCGGTCTCTAAAATTATATTCGATTGTAGCCGATACTTTTGGATCATTAGTAATCAAAGCAGTCAAGCGTCCTTTCAGCCATAATTTAAATTCTATACTGAATGATTGTGATGAGTCTTGGTTTTTTTGTAGCCTCAATACAAAATAGCGTAAAAGTTGTTGACTGGAAAAGCCATTTGAAGGTCCATGTTTAGATACCGTAAATTTGTTGAGAATGCATTCAAGATTCGGGTTATATCTTCCACTAATGGTGAGTCACTGTGAAATTTAATCGACAAAAATTGAATTTGCTTTGTTAATATCTCAACAATAAATGATGAATTGAATAAATCCAATGGGTAGTTGTAGGATAGATCAGGTCGATAGGCTTTGGGCATCTTATAGAGAAGACAACACGCTAATGTTTTTGATGGATAACTGAAATTTGTCGGCGCGTGTATGGTAAAATTGAGTCCGGTGATTTTCGGTAAATCAAGAATAGAGTTCATCAAATCAGAATAGATCAAACTAAAGAAAAAAGATTCAGCCGATATGAAAATGGTTTTTCGTGAAAAAATCTTTCAATTTGAACAATATTCACAGATTCAAACTCAATATTTTGCACTAATGTCAATCTCAATTGATAGCAATGTTTCTTGAATAAGTTAGTAGTCATACCTGTTCATCGAATCGTTTTCTATTGGTATTGTTGTCAATTGCGAATGAATTTGTATTGTTTTTACTCTTGGATAATTTTTCCTGTCTCGATTTTTCGATACCGATTGTACATCATTATCATTTAATGTAACCTTCAATCCTGTTCCATTTTCATTGATATCAATCATATTATTTTTTGTATTCATAAACCTTTCCGTGCCGTAAAACTCTGCACAGTATCTTTCATTACGTTCAGCTTGTGAATAGGTATAGATTTCTATAAATGGTGGTTTAGGAACATGATTGTAATCCATAATAACAGGACCGTTTATCCATTTGTTATGATTATTATCGAATGATTGAACGAGTACAGGTGACGGACACTGCTGAATAGCATCATCTCAAGTGAAATAAGTATTACAATTTATATGTACGGACGAATACTGAATAATACGGAACTTACTAGTGACTCGTATATAGAATTGAAGTTTTTCTAATTTTAACAGGTTTGTGGAAATAAACTCGTGCCATATTGTTGATGAAGCAAAGTTCAAATCGAAAGTCCATGTTGAAAATGTTAAATGTTTTAGATTGGGAAATAATTTTAGGACGAAATGAAAGTTCGTTAATGATAAATAATTAAAAGACATGTAAAGACGATTTAAGGATACTAAAATACGAATATACTTAATTTATTTAAGAACGAGCAGAAGACAACCATAGTAGCGGGATCGAATATGAAGAGAGGGCGTGGGATGATACAATTTCCCTGTTTCTATTTGTCAACGAAGTGCACATTGCAGCAGAGACTTCTTACGCCACAACACTCTACGACACCTTACTCTAAGTATCAAGATACACATCTATGAATAAGCACCGTATACTATTCTCTTACAAAAATAATTCTAGGTTCAATGCATGAAGTATAGATTTATGAGTGATATATAACTGAGCAATGTGTCATATGAAATATCTGCTAGAAGATTATAGTAACAGGTGACACATAAATAATCGTAGTCTTTAGTATTTTCAGCTTGATTCCTTGTTTCTACACTTCATTGAGATAAATATTTTGATACATGATTCATCGTGAAATTTTTCACAAAAAATGTACATTGATTCCGTTACTGCAAAATATTGAGTTTTAAAACTACATGAAAAATATTGCAGATCATTAAAACGAAGAAAAAAGGGCTTCAAAACTAGCTTTTAACATAATTTTTACTAAAATTTTGCGACAGAAAAACCTTACATAGCTGTCACCTAGACCTTTACAACTCTGTATTGCAAGTAGGATTTTTCGAAAATTCAATTACGCCTAAGTGTTCCCATGACCATAATAAGTCTTTCTTAAGTTTGTAAACTACGATGATATTTACTAATAAACTGAGTTTTTGAATTGAACCAATAAAATCTAGCCAATGCAAGTTGAGCTTTCACTTCTTTCGAAGACATTGAGTAAGTCTTTATGATCCGATAACTGAAGTTTATAAACGAGCTACCTTTCTTTCATCGTACAACAAAAGCACGGAAAAATTTTGCTTTTTTTCTCGATGAGTACGTACGACAATAGTTGTCATGTCAAATATTTGCATGGAAATCAGTCTCGATCTTCATGTAGGGTAAGATAATATCTTGAACTTTTTAAAAGTTTACCAAATAAGGAGAAAGAGACCGACTAAAAACATTTAAACAGCAATTATCTATGTGCTATTTGTTAGCTATCATCATTCCGAGCATGTTTATTCGATTTTCATAAAACTCTTCTTTTTCTCGTAAAATGCAGTTATTTTTAGCTTCTATCATAGCAGAAACGTGACTTTCTCATGATAAGTATACGTCCACAAGTTGGCATAATTTTGCTCGTTTGCATGTCTGTCAATTTGGAAATCAAATATTTTCATATGCTACAGTTTATATTTCAATTGAATACAAAATATAAGTTCACATTTCTACCAGATCATCCATTTCCTTAATACAAATACACTTCTCTTTTTCTACAAGCACTAAAGAATGATATTTATCGTAGAATGAAGTCTTTTAGTAATCAATATGTATCTCGCAATGACAGGAGTAGGTCATTCGTAAATTATACATTGTTCTAAAACGAAGTTTCTCTTACAGGGCAATTGGAGACATCCTCCATCGCCACAAAGCAGATTATCAATTATTTTTTGATCAATTGACGTTGGATCCTCACGACGTTTATAAAGTATATATACTACCATTCGTTGAACATTTGGATCCACATATTTGATCAATTCTAAGAAATTCGTCATATAGCAACTATTCAATTTTAAATATTCAAGTTCAGCCCATGGATAAATAGTGTTATCATTAAAATGAAATAGAATAGGATCGAATGAATATAAAATCAAGCGTTTTAATGAGCGAATCGAAAATAATGCTGTTGTTATATCAGGGGATTGTATCAATGCATCATAAATATTCAAGTAAGACAAGTTTGTTAACAAATACAATTTCGATAATATTTTATATAAATTAGACAGTCAAATTTGTTAGTTTAAACTTCAGATAAATATAAATACATACCAAGGTTCTCTATGGATGGTTGCGAAATAGTTAATGCTCTCAAATTCTTGAAAAGACTCATATCAACATGTCGATTGAACAATGTCAGACTATCATATTCGTCGCATAATTTCAAACTGTAGATTTGAGATAGAAATGGTTGCTGATTGGAACAGTAATAGTCAAACGCATATTTCAACATTGATAAATCCAATTTAAATTTTTCTGAATAAAAAATTGTATTTAGACGTAAATTCAAATTGTAGAAGGCACGTTGTAAATCAATGAGTGGTAGAAATTGACATATGTAGAGCAATAATTCATTTGGTAAGTCTTAGAATCTCAATTTTGATTAAAATGTACCGACCTAAAAATATGAAGTGAAAACAGAGTTATAGATGGCATCAAATTAATAGTAAGTAGTTTCATCAATAAAATTGATCTAGAGAGATCATATAATAATCTTATTATTATTATGCTAATTGTACTTCGAACTCGGCAACTTCGAATATTTTTTTAGCATAGTAATTTATCGGTTTGTATAAATTTTCTTGGTTATTCGATTACTAAAACAGAGCTCGACCTGATTGGTTGATGCAAACTGCAGTGGTATTGCATACGAGATTTTTTGAGAGAGTCGATAAATAAATAGTTCATGAATCGAAAATGAGTATTTTCAACATGTAAGAGGAACTTAGTCTGCAGTAGACTTTCTAATTATCAGACCATCGCTCAATCTCACATTTTCGGGACTCAAAGATCGCATAACTTACTTTTAATTCATCCATTCTGACTCTTGTCAGACAATGCCGTTCTCATTTGGAAATGAACGAGCAAGAAAAAAAACAGAACAACTAAAAAATTTATGGCGTTTGTTCCAGATTGGTAGAATTACTTTGAATAAATACATAACAAACTTATCTTGCTTTGTTGGTGAATCAACAATAACAAAAAAAAGAAAAACAAAGAAAATCAAAATCCTGCAATTACATGTGAAGATCATCATGTTGGTGACAAAAATGGTGATTAATTTATTTTACTTTATCTTAGAATTTTTTTATGTATCTATTCATATTCAAATTTTTTTTGATTGGCTAGTATAGTAAATTATATTAGAAAAAAATGAATATTATTATGTAGGTCTTTTTTCTGATATTTCGTTTTTGTTTGTTTACTTTCTAATGTTATTGTTTTTGTTCACAAATTTTCTTTACCTGTATTCTTTTTTTGCATATTGTTGATGCTAATTTAAGAAAATAAAATTACAGATAGTCTGTTATAGGACATCCAGCTCTTTCTAATTAATTATTTGTTCATTGTTTGTGAAATAAAGAAAGCCACATTCTAACATATATTGTGAATGTAGTTGAGAAGTATATTGTCATATTGCCGGTGGAAAGTCGACAATAAAACAAAAATATAAATCACACAAGCTGTCCAAATTCTGATGGAAAATCAACAACAAAATTCCCAGCAAAAAAATGTTGTCGTAATTCCATAAGAATTTTGACAATTGTAGAAATTTGCCAACGTTGTCCAGATTCTAGTAGAATTTCGACATGTTTCAAAATTTTACTACAATTTGGACATTGTCAAAATTCAGATGGCGAAATTCTTTTTGTCGAAATTCCATAGAACCCGTTAAAGTGATATATCATACTGATAGTAAAGTGAGCATGTACCATCGCAAAACTTCGAGAGTCAATGGAGATTAGGATCCAACTGAATTGTGTTCAACCGCTTCCAATCAGAAAAACCTAAATGTTCACTGTGCGGATCCTGTAGTTGAATTCTCCAAATTTCGACGAAAATCGAACATAGATCGGGATTACAAAATGCAATTACCATATACATGCTTACACTGTGTTGTTGTTTTCAGATCGAAATCGGTAGTTTTATCATATATTTTGGCGAATTCCGATGATTATCTACTGAAAAGAATAGGGTAATAATTTTAAATGATCGAAAAACATCTGCAGACTTCTCGATTCGAATTGCTACTTCGAAGTTTTATTCATTTCCTAGATTTGTTATGTCAGAGCTGACCTGTATGTGTATGTTTAAATGTGAAGATTTCCATTGAATAACTTACTTATATAGGTCTTGTATTCCATACTAAACTTTGAATGATTAACAATCATGTTTCAACTAGAACAAAGGCAGATTGTCGCTTGTGACTTTATATCGCCATTATTTGATTTATTCGATAGGTTCTCATTTGAGAAGCAACCAGTGCCATTGTCATCATCATCAATGTAATCACTTTCATCGACATATAGAATATCGGGTTTTACACTGATGTCAAATTTTCGTTTTGTATCAAGAACTGAGAGCCACTCTTTTAGACTATCAGCATTAATAAATTCAGTAAGTGCTCTTCGGTTCGATTGCACAGTAAATGTAGAGACGTGATGATGAATAGACTCAGTAATATTTTCAATTATTTCAATCGATAGTGGATTAAGAATAGATTCTATAATAGCTATGTCTGATTCATAAGCTCGTTTTAATGAGATATCTATCCCTTGTAACTGTCGTCTTAGATTCTGCATCCAACGAAGCTTGTTAAAATCTAGAAGACATAATTTATCGTTATAATTGGATGCTACGAAACATCGAAAAAAAACACTTATACCAAAGATATTATTGCACTGGATCAGTAGAATCTGTTCCCCTTGTGATGAGAGATCGATTACCTTGTACGAATATGGGTTAATTAAAACACAAATATAATTTGAAAATTTCTCTTCTGTAATTGGACCACGTTTAGAATCTATTGTCGATTTGAGTACAAAACTTCGTTGATCGATTAATCGGTTTGTTCTTTTAAATTTCAAATGAACATCCCGATACGGAATAGGAGAGATTAAGAGAAGATTGTCTACGACTGTTAAACAAAATAGTATAGAAACTTGTTGACAAAGTACTTACAATTCTACTCTTGAAATAAGAGCGTATATTGTTTAAAATATTCATTTTGTTTTGGACCGAATATGTTTTTGACAGGTAGACATTGCTGTTTTAAGAAGTTCACGATTTCTTCAATTGTGATATCGTGAACACAAGATTTTGATGGAAAACTGATATCGACTTGATAGTTCATGTTGAATACGAACGAAAAAACTCCACGTGGATGTGTATTATCTTCACCAAATGCTCTATAACACTTGTTACGTCCTGTTTTTGGCCGTGAATGAATATGTTTACTTAGCTCGAAAACTGGTTGAATAAGTTTTGACTGTACTGAAGATGATGCCATATCTGGTAGTTTAGAAAAAATCGACGAAGCAGCTGAAGCCTACATAGACAAGTTCATTCTTCATAATATATAAAAGAAAATATTACCTTGGATGAATCATGAGACAATTGTGTATTAAGTCGGATGAAACGAACAAGTATTATTGGATTTATATCTTCACAGTGAACCTGTTCAACAATAGGACGATAATTTCCACAAGTAAAATCATGTGGAAATCGACAATCTTTAACGTTACAAGAGCCAAAGCGACGACACAAATGAAGTTCATTGCATTCTCCCATTTCAAAATTACATTTTCCAACAAGAAAATCTCTGCATGTTTATCTAAGACATATGATAAATCACAATAATAATAAAAATAAGATAAAATAAACTTACTCTTGGTTCCATCTGAATGAAAAAGATGTTTGCATGATTATATCGAAACAGAAAAGGAATGATCCTGACATTTGTACAACACGACATATTTCTTCCGCTGAACAAGTTTTCCCACGATTTCTAATAGCAGTACTCAACTCTTTGTCGCTGAGTTCTTTTTCATTGCGCTCGAGAAATATTGACATAATTTCGTTTACATAATTAACCACCTTTATTCATAAAACGTTTAGTAAGATGTATATTAAAGTATAATAGAGTCCAAAAATACGTAACAGAACATGTGATTATATAAGCAACATTTGGCGTCTTCGTAAGAAAGAACTGAAAACAAAAGTCACCAGAGACCTTTTACAACAAACATGACTCATTATAAACATTCTAAAAAAATGCTGTCAACTGCCCCTCAATATCTGAGAGCAAATGATAAAACTAACTAAATGTTTTTTTTCAGATCGGTTTTGTTGGTTGTTCTGAACAAAGAAAATAATCGAAGTATCTTTAAACTGAGTGCTGTTTAAAAATCATGATTTTTCTTGTTATTTCTATTAATAACATGATAAAAGAATAATAATGATGTGAGTGTGCTTTTGTTCGAGTCTCGTAAGCGAATACCCGCATTTACACCATCAAATCATGAAATCTTTTTTTGCTGATTTTTTAAGTCACTGGATAGGTATCCATTGGGGTGTGAGTGTAAAACCCACCCACATCGCTACCACGATTGTGGTGATGGATTATGTTATGCTAGCTTCACATAGGCGCTCATTGTTAGCTTATTTTATCTTGTATTCTTTTGTCTTATTCATCAGTCGCTTCTATTCAAACACGGTCAACAACGTAAGATAAAAACACCTGAAGCACATAAATTGTTTTGCAACAAGCAGTCGTTCGTTTTATTGTGAAACCCATTGCTGGGTGCGGGTGGGTGTAAGTTTTATCTTTAACAACACCTACACCCACATCCACACCCTCATTTTCAATGTCACTAAGAAAATCAATACATTCGTCAACGTCTGTAAATGTGGTGTCTATTCCTAATATATTACGTAGATGCTGTACTGGTTGTTTTATATTTGTCTTTGAACTCATCGAAATTGGCATTAAGCCAGATCAGAAGAAAGTTTTGTAGCACTCGACGCATAGGTTGAGGCAGTACAGTGGCAGCAGGATGGTTCGTGTTAGTAATAGTGGTAGCGCTAGGCATTGCTACTGCACCGCTAATAGCAGTTGTTGTCAAATTTTGTTTGCTCATGACGAATGGATGAATCAATGAACACAATTAGTGAAACGTCGTCACCCTATATGTAGATAATTCTCTGTACAGCAAGCAAGAAACAATGAAAAACAACCAAGTAAGCAAAAAATTGCTGAAGACGGGAGACATCATTAGTCTGAAATATCGAAAATACCTGTCGTGACTAGTTATCCGAACAAGAAAGTCCTGCAACTACTTCTAAACTTGTCTAGAATGTTCTTGAACCTCGACATATCTAGTCCATTGGTCTCTCTAACACGTGAAGGTTAGTCTGTAACACAGAAAAAGAATAAAAGACGCAGACAAAAGGTGGATTTTGAACATCTGGCCTATCTGTTTTCAATACTTGACGAGTGTTCTGATGTCACATCATCTTTTATGACTAGACTAACGTCAGTTTTGACAGTCCGTATAACAGACAGACAGATACTTATCAATTTGCTAGACGATCGAAACTGGTCGAGAATGAGTGAAGGATGCATATGTGAGCATTAATACAGAAAAGTCCCCTTCAATCTTTAAATACTACGAATATTTTTCGTTGCACGACAATTCTATTTAACTTTAAATATGGACCCTGATTAGTTTAATTTATGAATCAATTAAGATTGCATGAACCTATACTAGTTCTAACATTGAAATGGACTAACTCAAGTTAAAATAAAATAAGATCATAGTACTTATATACAGTATCTTTTCCTCAATTTAAAAGATTAATTATTTATCATGCACATGATATTTGTTCGTATTCATTAGTGTTTACTAACAACTTCATGAAAATACTTTTTTAATTGAAAAATAACCTTATTCGATCGTATATATAAAAATTGGTATTAAAATACAAATTTAAACAAATATTTGAATAGAATTCAACTAAATAGCGTCTGCAGATATTTACCGAAATGTAGAAGTTCACTTTCGATTATACGATTCAACCTTTATCTTATAATAAATTTAGATTTAAACTCCTCTAGGTTAGTCTAGGAAACCTTACTATAGCGTGTCATGTTGAAACGATCTGTCTAATCTTCGTTACAAAAGTTTTCGTCCAGAATGAGTTTACACTTTCGATAGTGATTTCATATTTGACCGACACTAAAGTAGTCCTACGCAGATCTTTCCCTCGAACAAGAATAGATAAAACATATATGCTGATGCTCGTCAGTGATAGATTCATGATTGGATTCGAGAACACACCAGGCCTTCAACTTGTTCTCAAATATAACTTTTTGAAAAAAAGACTAGGCACATCCAACCGAAATGACTAGAAAGGTTGCAAAATGTTAACAGCTAGCATAGATTTTGAACACATAATTTCCATGTAAGAAAAAAAAGGAACAAATCAGATTTTAATCGAGATTTTTCTCTTTTTTCTACATCAGAATTATCCGCCTTATCGTTTATAAATTAGTATAATATTAAATAAAACTAATATTGTACTGAAGTCAGTTATAAGGAAATTGTCACCACTATTATAGTGAAACAAGACCCAAATTCTAACCACTTTTAATTTTGATTATGTTCGTAATTTGTTAATAATAAAAGCATAATCTACATGCATCTTCTATGGTTTCAATGATATGAGAGCATTTGATCGCTATGCGGTCAAACACTCTGATCTTATGAAAGATAATAACTGCCTGGTCATTCTGGCCTCTATCCATTGTATCCTTTCTTCTGATTTCTAGTATATAATCTTGAGGGTGTGGATGTGAGTGTGAGTGAACATACAACATATATCTACACTCACACACCCACACCCCTTTTTTGATAACACCATGCGAGAAAGAAATATGATCAATCACATGTTCGATATTGTCCCTTTTTTACTCTTCCGTCTTTTGCAAACATGAATCGATCCTTTCTACGGAACAGAAGACCTTCATACAAATAAAAAGAACAAAATGTATTTGTAAAATATGAGTAGTGATGCTTGATGAAAAGGAAATCTACATTATTGATTATGAGCGCACCTGTAATGTCGATACGAATACAACCGCTGTCGACAGACCTGTCAGCGATCGATAACATTTCCATCATCAATTAGAGTGATGTGAGACGGCTCTACGTCCATGTCATTCGTCGCCTGGTTCGAAAGCTCGATCGAAGATTGCTTCCTTTTCTTGTTCTTCTGGAAATTGGTTCTGTCCTCAATCGAGCGAGCATCGGTATGTGTTTTTGACTTGAATTATTCATCATTAATAATATTCTTCTAGGTCTCACTAAACTGATGGGTATTAAAACCGATCTGCATATGTCAGAGTCAGAAAGTAGTTGGGATTTTACACTCTATTATATTTCGCGTGTAAGAAAATCCCGTTATTACATTTCAATGTGTTTCAATATGACTTTTGACGGTAGGTTCTCTTTATAATTCCGAGCAATCTTCTCCTGCACTTTATCGGTTCGACTCGTTATCTGGCATTGAGTATGCTTGGGTGGGGCAGCCTTACGGCCGGTATGGCTTTTGTAACTAATGCTCAACAACTAATCATTGTCCGCTTTCTCCTGGTAAGTTAATTTAGAGGTTTCATCTGAGAATAAATCAATTGCAAAATGTCATTGAAGGGAGTGGCAGAAGCAGGCTATTTTCCTTGTATGATCATTTATTTCTCTCTTTGGTACTGTAAAAGAGACCAAACCATGAGAATAACTGTTCTGTATAGTGGAGCTATTGTTTCCCGTGCTCTCGCTGGCGTTCTGGTACGTATTTGTCGATGTCATCAGAGACCAGCTACTTTCACTTTATAAAACCTATTATTGGCATTAATCTAGGCTTATGGTATGGAAACAATGGCAGGCATTGGTGGTCTAAAAAGTTCGCAATGAATGATTTTGCTCGAAAGTTCACCGATCATCCCGCTCGGAATTGTTACCTATCTTTTCCTTGACAATGTACCCAATGCAGTTCAGTGTAAGAGTTTAAAAGAGAATTGAACGCAACCAAAACCGTTGTTGATAATTTAGGGCTGAAGAATATTGAGAAGCAGATATTGGCAAATCTTCTTCGAAATGATGCTGGTATAACCGATCGTAATCTCACATCAATTACTCGACTTTCATGGCGAGAAGTTTGTTATGTTTTTGTCGATTGGCGAATCTATCTCTATGGCCTGATTGATTGTGGCAATGCGGCTGTCACTCTATCTTTGACAACATTTCTTACCACACTGATGGAAAATATGGGTTACTCTAAAACTGAAGCAAGCTTAATGATAGCACCACCTAATGTTGTCGCATGTATTTGCTATTTGCTGGCCATCTATTCGTCGTCACGTCGAAATGAACATGGCTATCATATTGCGTTTTGTCTATCGATTGGTTTATTGGGATGTATCCTAATGCTCACTCTGTTCGATAAAGGTAAAGTGGCAATTTTTGTCAGTACTACCGTTACTTTTTGTGGTATATTTTTTACATGTCCTTTACTGGTCTCTTGGTTAACAAATAATGCTGGTGGTCATACAAATGAAGCAATGGCGATTAGTTTCGTTATCCGTATCGGTGAAATGAGTGGCATTGTCACACCTCTGGTCAGAATTCGGCGTGTTATAACTTATGGAATAACTTCTGAAGTCGATTTGTAACATTTCAATGACTTTAAAAGAGTATTTGTAGCAATATTTTGTTCGTAGATATAAAGAGAAGATGATAAGCCGGCCTATCGACGCGGTCATGTTATCTGTAGTGGAATGCTGGCTGTCAGTTGGATTCTTACCATTATTATGCGCAAGTGTTTACTAAAAGAAAATAATCGACGAACAAATTTATCATTGAAGGACTATCAACATGACGTAGCTGTCAAATAAACCTGTGATCGAGTAAGTTCATGTTTGATTTTCTCAAATTATTATATTGTTGTGTTATTATCTTTAGCATTCCCACGTACTCTATGTGTTGTGACACGGAAACATTTTATATCTATCAGAATGGGCATGGAAATCAAATATTTTCTCAATGAACTCATTACATTTCGTCTTATAGTTTTTGAGCAATAAACAAATGTCAACCATGAAACGAATACGAAAAATTTTCTTCCGAGGAAGTGATACATTATATTTGCTTAAGGATTTGAGTCTGTAATAAAAGGACACAGAACCGTTTAATGTTTGCGTTGTTCTCGATTCTAACTCTAACCGGTGACAGAAAAGAAAAACATGAAGATTAAATGCAAAAGCGATAAAGAAAAAAGCGCTGTCATCATTCGATCGCCATTCCTGTTCTATGCGCCTGGCGCAAAATAACGCGTGCAGCAAAAGAAATGGTTCTCGCAATATTTTTACAATATCTCAATCTGCTCTCGCTATTTTGAAATAAATTTTTTTATCAAAAGATTCAGCTTTTAGGTCTCTACAATACTGGATATTTCTATTAATGAAAGAATGCTGCCTAGTTTTCTTACGCGGAATGCCAAAAAAGTATTTGAATATATGGAACTTTCCACTGTAGCATTTTTTGCAAAAGTGTGTTATCACACTTATTAAGAGAGCACCCACGAGCCCATCGAGCATGGTGCTAGATATCGAAGCACTCGTCAAAATTTAGTTTTCTGATTTGATATTCTCATCTTATTCAGCATTATCTNAAGATTATCTGATGAAAATCATGCAAAAGAAATGAAATCAATGCAGTAATTTCAGTTTTTCTAGAATAAACAATTTAAAGCAATGAAAATGATACAAAGATAATGAAACTATCTGGATGAGTTTGATTTTTGCAAAATAATTACAGTAACGAAATTTTTTTGATGAAAAGTTTGAAAATAATCATTTAAATGAAATTTTTTTCATTTTTTTACTCCCTGGGCAGTCTTGGTTGTAGTCTTCGTTAGTATAAAAATATGCTGCTTTTCATGATTGGTTATTAAAAAAAGAAAACATGATTTCATGCTGATAAATGATTAAATATGAACAAATCTTGTGAAAAATATCATATTGCTCCAAGGGGAGGAAAAGCGCGAGTTGTCGTACTTGAGCGTACTCCCTGTACTCCCGATCTATCGTGAAGTTTTCTTGTCAAACTTTTCTCTTATTTCAACACCTCTAGTGGCCAGCATCCCGATGTAGTAGTTGGAGTACAACCTGCATAACTCTGTGAGACGCCAGAATCTAAATACTTCACCATACTTCCAGATTTGATAAAATGTGAAGTACGATGAAGTATATGGACTCTGGCATTTCACAGAGTTATGCAGGTTGTACTCCAACTACTATATCGAAATCAGAATGCTGACCGCTAGAGACATTGAAATAAGAGAAAAGTTTGACAAGAAAACTTCACGATAGCTCACAGTACGCTGAAGTACGACAACTCGCGCTTCTCCTTTGTACTGCTCCGTATTTTGAATTCCTTATCCTATTGCACAGGTTTTCCTTTATCTTCTAAATTTTTAGATGATAGAGCTTAATAAATGATCTAGTGGTCCAACTTTGACATTGCGACCAAACACTTTTCATAAAACATTATGAAGATGAAAACGGATTATTAAAAAAGGCTCATTTTTGCATTGAAATCGTCGTTTTTTATTTCAGGATAATTCTTTTTTCGACGCAAGAAGCTTGGGTTCGTAGAGAACTCGAAATTCTGAGTTAAAAAAAGTATTTTCTGTTCATAGATGTCATAATACCCTAACGCAGGGTATCGAGACATTCGCGTCAAATTATCCAGATAGCAAGCAAGCAGACTAAATTTGGTGTAACGAAGTCGTTACCTAACATATGTGCTACCCCCGAAATTCTTAGGAATTTGAATGTATTTGATGTAACGTTGTTATTACGTCATCAACTAGGATAACGACTTCGTTACACCAAATTCACTAAAATTCGTCAGAATTTCGGAGGTAGCACATATTTTGGGTAAGTGTAATCTACAATGAATTCAGTGTATATCTTCTGTGATATTTGTCGATACCCGGGGTAACGGTATTTTGATTTTGACATCGCTCTTTCTGTTAATATTTAACATACAGTTATTTCATAGGGGGTCTCTCAATGAAAAATGGGGCCCAGATAATGGTCATAACTTCATGGGGAAGAAAGACGTTTTAATAGTTCTTATTATGATATTCGTAATCAGTAGCTATACACCAATGTACAAGAACATCTAGTTTTGTCTCATTGAAAAAGAAATTTCCTTTTCCATGATAGCCGGGCTGTATCCCAACAGCGAAAATTGCCAATGTTGTTTTCTGAGGCATAAGATTGAAATAAATGGCCAGAAGGGGTATCTTATTCTAACGTAATAGAAATAAATTAATTCTACACAAGTTATCAAAATCAGCTTTTTCTACGCACCTCCTTTCTATAACATACTTCTGACGATCGGCAAAGATTTCACAAAATTCCGTGGGAGTTCATGGAATTCCAAGGAACCTCATGGGACTCCATGGAATTGGAGGCTGCTGTTTTCCCTTGCTCTCCAGCCGGCATCGCTCTTTCTCTCCTCCCTCTCCTCCCTCTTCCTCTCTCTCTCTCTCACATACACACACACTTAGGACGAAGGTGAGCAATCGGATCCTATCGGGTCTTCTTAATACTGACAGAATTCTACCGGAAGTAACAGGGAATCCAGTGACGCGGATTCCAATAAAATCCGACTGAATCTGACTAAGTTTTGACTGAATTCGATCGATTTCGTCGTATTCCGACAAAACCCAGTGAAATCCGGATCGGAATTCAGGTCACTGGATTTTTTGACATGGAAGAACACCTTTAGAAGTAATGTTCATGTACTCTGAAAGTTCGAAGGGCTCTTAATTATCCTATACATTTATGTAATATTTTTTATGTGCCCAAACATACATATATCGAGTATAGTGAAAATATTCCTATGGTCAGGTTTCTATGGGTGGCATTTTGTTACTATATTTTCAGTTAGTCTTTGAAAACGACTATATTACTAAAGAAATGCCTTTAAAAAGCAGAATTGTATCTTCTAATAGCGAATGAAACTCTGTATCATTTTGTAGCAATATGAAGCTTTTGGACTTTTAATAATTTCTTGATTAATGTGTCGAATAATGTCGAGAAAGCCGCATATGTTATTCATATGAGTGTTCCAAATTTTTTCAAGTAAGATTTTAGAATATTATTCTAAGATCACAGATAAATGACATCGTTGTTTATCTATTAAGTAGTATTATGTTCAGAGCAATCTTTTAGAATTGTCGGCATAGATTTTTATGAAACATATATTTGCAATAAAGAAAATATCTTTTCAATTCGTATAAGTCAATCGATAGTAAAAATAGCATTAACTTACGAAAAAAATTCCAATGAAAGAACATCCATTATTTTTTGTTGATCACTACTTATATATAATGCTCTTTAAGGTAGTGCTGCCGTGGTCGAGGGGAGGAAGGTGACGGAGTGTAACCCCCCTCCCCCCAATAATCGAAAATTCATTGTTTTCATCATTGAAAAAGGGTGTGTGTAGAAGTAGCTTTATATAAAATCGATAGTATCTCAGAGGAAAGATGTATTTACACGCCTCAATAATCGGAATCTCTTTGTTTTAATTAGTTAACAAATTAAAAGCAGCTAGAATTCTATTTAAAACAGAACGTCTTGGAGGAGAAATAATCCCCCCTCAGCAAAGTTCGAATGATCGGGGTAGCCCTGCTTTGAGAAAATGTATTATTCTGTTCTCTTGATTGGTCGAACATACAAAATATAATAACTGAAAGATTATAATTGTAAAAAGTAATGAGTTGCCTAATTCGAGTTCCAACATAAATGTGTACCGAGCCGTATGATATGAATTCTAACATAACTGATATATTTAACTTCGGAATAGATTTAGTTTTCTTCTTAGGTTTTGTAAGCCATGGCTGTCAGTGGGAGAGAGAGAGGAGAGCGAGGGGAGAGATAAGGGACCAATGGGAGTGAGAAAAAGGGTAACGAGGAACGGTGAACAGTATTTCTTTGTACTTCCTCGTACTTCACTGGTACTTTCTCGTACTTCAGTCGTACTTCAAAAATTTGCTGAAGTAGATGAAGTCTCGCTTTTCCCCCTTGGATCACTGTCATCTGCAAATCTTAAATTCTGGACAAATGTTCCACTGACATTGACTCCATTGTTTATTGATGTTGTTTTGTCTATTATTCTTTCCAAATATGCAATGAACAGAAGTGGTGACAAGGGATCACCTTGTCTGGTTCCAACACTTGTTTTGGAACCATTCACCAATATGCATGCCTATTCGGACTGCCGATCGAGATTTTCCACAAATTTTTTCTAGTAGTATAACCACCTTGTTGTCCACACCATACGATCTAAGAACAGCCCATATGATCCTGTGTTTGATTGTATCGGATGTTTTTTGAAAGTCAATGAAACAGTTGTAAATTTTCTTACCGTTACGTTTCTCTTTTTCTGCTAGAAGTCTGAGTATCAAAATTTGGTGAACTGTGCTTCTGTCTTTTCTGAATCCAGCCTGTTTTTCTGACAGATATGGATCAAGATGATGCTTCAGTCTGTTTAGCAGCACCATTAGTAGAACTTTCCCTGTGTGATTGATTAGAGATATTGTTCTGTAATTCGAGCATTCACTGAGATCTCCTTTTTTAGGGATTGGTATCAAGATTAATCTTCCTCATTCATCTGGAATGGTTTCCTCTTTCCATGCTCTGTTGCACAATTCATAAATTTTGTGGGTTAGTTGTTGTCCTCCAGCTTGAAGTATTTCGGCTGTGATATCGTCGATTCTTGGACTTTTGTTTTTCTTGAGTTTGCTTATTGCATCTTGTATTTCACCATATAGTATGCCATTGGGATCATTGTCTTATGGAGGAGTTATATTTTCAAGTTCTTTTGCCATTTTTTCTGCATCATCTTTGTCTTCATACAATCCACTGCAGTACTGTGTCCACCATTGCATTATACCTTCTTTTGATTGTACTGTTGTGCCATCATGGTTTCTTATGGTAGTTGATTTTGGTAGGTATTTCTGTTTTAACAGTTTCATCAAGTTGTATGCTTGCTTGCTGTTACCAACTTGTAATCCTTTTTCAATTTTTTCACATTGATCTTGTATCCATTTGTCCTTATCTTGTCTTGCTGATTTTTTCACTTTGTTGCATAGATTTTTGTACTTTTCGCTGAGTTCCGGAGAGAGATGTTTTACTTGTCTTGCCTTTCGTTTTTCATCTGCCAAATTCAATGTTTGAAGAGAAATTCAGGGTTTCTTTGCTACTTTATGAGTAGTTATACTTGTCTGAAATGCTTCTTTGATTGCTTTTTCAATTTGTAATACATCTTCCTCTAGGGTGTATGTTGTTTAGGTTGTTTTTCAGTTTTGTTTGGTAAGATTTCCGTATTGTTTGATCATTGAGCTGGTTCATGTCGGGTAGATAATTTTGTTTTGGTTTGTTGTGTAGGTTTTTCAATCTTAGTTNATTCATAAATTTTGTGGGTTAGTTGTTGTCCTCCAGCTTGAAGTATTTCGGCTGTGATATCGTCGATTCTTGGACTTTTGTTTTTCTTGAGTTTGCTTATTGCATCTTGTATTTCACCATATAGTATGCCATTGGGATCATTGTCTTATGGAGGAGTTATATTTTCAAGTTCTTTTGCCATTTTTTCTGCATCATCTTTGTCTTCATACAATCCACTGCAATACTGTGTCCACCATTGCATTATACCTTCTTTTGATTGTACTGTTGTGTCATCATGGTTTCTTATGGTAGTTGATTTTGGTAGGTATTTCTGTTTTAACAGTTTCACCAAGTTGTATGCTTGCTTGCTGTTACCAACTTGTAATCCTTTTTCAATTTTTTCACATTGATCTTGAATCCATTTGTCCTTGTCTTGTCTTGCTGATTTTTTCACTTTGTTGCATAGATTTTTGTACTTTTCGCTGAGTTCCGGAGAGAGATGTTTTACTTGTCTTGCCTTTCGTGTTTCATCTGCCAAATTCAATGTTTGAAGAGAAATTCAGGGTTTCTTTGCTACTTTATGAGTAGTTATACTTGTCTGAAATGCTTCTTTGATTGCTTTTTCAATTTGTAATGCATGTTCCTCTAGGGTGCATGTTGTTTAGGTTGTTTTTCAGTTTTGTTTGGTAAGATTTCCTTATTGTTTGATCATTGAGCTGGTTCATGTCGGGTCGATAATTTTGTTTTGGTTTGTTGTGTAGGTTTTTCAATCTTAGTTTGATATTGCACAAAACTAAGGAATGGTCAGAGCTTATGTCAGCTCCTTGAAACGTTCTACAGTTGATGACAGATGTTTTCCAGCGTTTTGTACGATGATCAGGTCAATCATGTTCTTGTGCACGCCGTTTGGTGATTCCCATGTTCATTTTTGATTTGGTTTTTGTTGAAATATTGTATTACAAATGAATAAATTATGTAGCGTTGCAAACTCTGGTAAATGCTCACAACGTTCATTTCTTGTCCCAAACCCATATCTACCCATGGCGGATCCCCAGCCTGTGTTGTCGTCATCCACCTTTGCATTCCAATCACCAGTTATGATAAGTATATCTTTTTTTGGAATTTTTTTCATGGCATCTTCCAGGTTGTCATAAAATGCTTCAATTTCGTTCTCCTATGCATCAAATGTCGGAGCATATACATTAATTATTGTTATATTGAATGGTGTTGCTTTAAATCTTGCAGTGATTAATCTTGAATTGACTGGATTGTAACCCAAAAGTGACTTCCAGGCTCTTGTACTAAGTAGCATTCCAACACCTTTCGTGTGTGTTGTTTTCTCCGGACCAAATAAAATCACCATTTGATGTTTCACCTTTTCCTGTCCAACGTACTTCTGAAATGCCGATGACATCGTATCTTAAACACTTCATTTCATTCCTTAGTAGTTCTAGTTTACCAGTTGCCCATAGTGTTCGAACATTCCATGTACCAACAGTAAAAATATCCTTCGTCAATTTTAGTTTGTCCAAGTCAGACTTTTTCACTGTTGTTGTTACTGCTTCTTTGTCGAAGTGTACTTTTTTGGCGTTGATGGTGTTATTGTATGTCTTGTTGTTGTTGTTTCTGTATGAATGGTTGTACCAGTAGCCAATTTTTCGACTCTGTCCTGATTCCACGACAGAGGACGCGGACCTTGTTCATCCGGGCGACGTTCGAGCCGGTATGATTTTCGATGTCGACCATTTATGGTTGGTTTCTTTCGTCTTTTCTGTTTTAAAAACGATGGTATCTGTACCCATTTCGCTTAACACTCCTCCTTTTTCGGACTTGCGGTTGGCACAGAAATCACTGGATTGTGATCTCTATGATGGAGTTTCAGATTATGACACTGATTCAGAAACCGATAATTATTTAACAAATAATGATAATAATAATTCAAAGCAGAATATTTCGAAATTGCTGTCGTACTTTGTCAAAATAATCGTTNCAAAAGAAAGAGAGGACTGCTGTGAAAATCATTAGAAAATCTTATTTCAATCAGAAATAAAAGATAGGGATTCGAGCTTTCGTGTTCGGGCTGAACACATAGTCAGGAACGACATTATGAAATTTTATTTAGATTAAATTAAATTAAAATTCAATTTATAATAAAATGAAATATTACAAAATACAATAATATTGTTTATGATGTTATTTATGTTGGTATTGTTTATGATGTTGTTAATGTGGGTGTGGGTGGGGTGTGTGTGGGTGTGGGTGGGTGTGGGTGTATGATGTGGGTGTGTAGATGCGAAAGAAGACTAAGACAAGACCCACCCACACGCACACCCGCACCCACACTCACACACACACGCCACCCCACACACCCACACCCCCACCCACACCGACACCCCCACCCTCACCCACACCCACACCCACCCCACATTGATGATTTTACTAATATTCTCAGTTCATTGATACGAGTTCGAATATGACGTCGATCTCACCTATGTTATCCGTTCAGTTCCAGTGAATTATACGATGATGTTAACTGATTTGAAGCTCTTCTTTAAAAGAACTAATATTCTTTTTGAAAACTCATTTTGTTCCTATTATAGATCATCACAAGTTTTTATTTAGTCTTGCTCTACTTAAGCTATGCTGTTCTATACAACTGAACTTTCTCTAATGAAGGATTTGTTCGGCTTCGGTAATGGAATAATCGCCATCGAGGTAAAAAGAAAGTTTTTTTCTGAAATTCTTTTTGAATGCGGTTCAGTTTTTCAATCTTAAAAGCCAACTTATCATAATTATTGTCTTACTGAATATTTTTCATCATGTTTAGAGACTTCCATAAAAAATTACCTTCTAAAATCTCGTGATCTTCAATGATAATCTTGTTTCATCAGATCTTTTGATTTTATTTTTAGTCAAGAGTGATAGAAAGACCATCGAATACAAGGGTATTCTCGAAGTATAGAACACGAATTATTTTGATTTTTATCCTTCATCTTCTTTCTATACTTTATTGTTATTTTCCTTTGTTACTATTTCTTGATTCTATGGTTTTCGAAAAAGTATTATTTTAAACTAGAGATTCAATTCGATATACCGGATATTATCGACCTGTCGTATACTTTGTACATACGTGTCTTTTTCTCCTTATTTATTCAGATCACCCAAGGGAAACTTATCAAAAATACTTGTAATGCATCGATAGAGAAAAACAAGAAAAAAAACTAATCGATTTCTTTTTTTTGAGACCTGTTACTCCCCAGAAGGTCAACAATAGTGTAATCATTAAACTGATACTTAAGTAGATACCCGAGTCGATCAGCTCTATAGATTTATATCATTGAAATACTTCTAATCGGATATAAGTGCTGATTAACTCTTGCTGTCCTATGATTATAAACGTCAATTTCGGAAAATAAAATTTACATCTTGTAAAATATTTTATTTTGTAGTAAGAATAAATAATCAGAATTAAGGAATAGTTGCTCGATTTCAACTAACAAGACAAACAGATGTAATCATTCTTGTTCATTTACTTAGGCTCCATTCAATGATTTATCGGTTAACGTATATTAGTTTCGATTTAATTTCTGAAAAATTCACCTCGATTACATTTCATTCAACTGATTTAATATACTTTTCATGTTTATTTTAGGTTCCAAGTTCATCTAATACTGGCGATGTTGAACAGAAAACTGGGGCAGAAATAATTCTTCATGTAGTTAACCAACAGCTGTTCCTCCTTTATCAGCTTCGTGAAGATGGAGATACATTGGCATAAGCAAATATTAAAACTTGCCATATTCTTGTAATTGAAACCAACAGCAATTGGTTTCAATTTTATTAAAAAAATTGGCTTTGATGAACTAATACTTATTCATTTATCATTATTAAACATTTCAATTTTTAAGCCTGAAATATTATTTTTATTTTCCCCCTTTTTACAATAACACATAATCGATGGAGTACTATCGAACGAAACTGATTACGTGTTCCATATTCTTTATCCCTGAATAACCTCTGTTTTGTCGTTTATTTTATTTCAAGTAATCGAGAAAACAAAATCTAACTACATGACGTCATTTTTTCCTCTATTGTCTCTATGCATCATTCTATCTTCTACTCCACTAGGTAACCATGATGGAAAGAGTTCATGTTTTTTTGAAACCAAATAAAACTGAAATGCTTCAAAAAAAAAGATCAAGAAAGTTTCGCAGCTTTTATTTTTTAAAAAGATTATTCCTGTAAGAGAATTTATTAAACACATTCATGTGGTTGTGGATCTGGTTCTTCTCTTCAGAAACATCCACACACCCACCTACACTTTCAATGTTTTTTAAAAAGTAAAAAAGCATTCGATTAAAAACAAATTCTCATTAAGACGGAGTCCAATCAATCTTGATCTTGATCTTGATGTCCCATGGGCTTAATGCCCGTTGGGACCAACCACCGTACGGATGAGATTCTTTCATTGGTACCTGCTCTGCGCAAGGTGAACCAGATCTCGACAACTGTGACCACACCAATCAGTGATATCATCTAGCCATTCCCTGCATGGTCGTCCTCTCCTTGATTTTCCATTTATTCGAGAGAAAACGATGTGTTTCAGGAGTCTGTTATTGTCCATCCTGTATATATGTCCAAAAAGTCTGAGTTTCCGCTTTTTGATGACATCTATTATTGTTTCATGAGCACCAATTTGTTTTCGTATATCGACGTTACGCACCATGTCCGTCCAATGGATTCGAAGTATTCTTCGATAACACCGCATTTCAAAAGCCAATAGTTTTTGTTTGTCAGTTTCTTTTAGTGTCCATGTTTCCCAGGCATAGAGTAGTACACTGAAAACGCACGTTGTCAGAAGCTTGATCTTACTTTCGACCGTTAGTTTCCCAGTGCTCCACATATGCTTCATATTTGCCATTGCACCAGTTGCTTTGATGATTCTTCTTATTTCTTTCGAGCAATTGTTGTCCCATGTTAACAAGCTCCCCAGATATTCGAATTCTTCTACATTTTCGATTGTTTCGCCGCTGACTTTGACTTATTGATCGATATTTTTATCACCAAACACCATTGTCTTTGTTTTCTTAATGTTCACCATAAGTCCACCTTCTTCTGCCGCTTTTGTGAGTTGTTCAATTTGATCCTGTAGTGAGATATGATTTTCACTTAGGAGATCAATGTCATCAGCAAATCTTAGGTTGTTGATAACTGTTCCACCGACGTTGATTCCATGATTTTTTGATGTTGCTTGATCCATTATTCTTTCCAGATAGGCAATGAACAGAAGTGGTGACAAGGGGTCTCCTTATCTGGTTCCAACGCTTGATTGGAACCATTCACCAAGATCTATTCCTATTCGAACTGCTGATCGAGACTTTCCATATATCTTTTGTAATAGTATTACCACCTTGGTGCTTACACCATACGATCTAAGAACTGCCCATATGATTTTGTGTTTGATTGTGTCAAAGGCTTTTTGAAAGTCAATGAAACAATTGTAGATTTTCTTGCTATTGCGTTTTGCTTTTTCTGCTAGAAGTCTGAGTATCAAAATTTGCTGAACTGTGCTTCTGTCCTTTCTGAACCCTGCCTGTTCTTCTGACATGTATGGGTCTAGATGATGTTTCAGTCTATTGAGTAACACCATAAGTAGAACTTTCCCAGTATGATTAATGCGAGAGATTGTTCTGTAATTTGAGCATTGACTGAGGTCTCCTTTCTTAGGGATTGGTATTAAGAGTGATCTCCCCCATTGATCAGGAATATTTTCCTCATCCCATACTCTATTGCACAGTTCATGCATTTTACGTTTCAGATTTTCTCCTCCAGCTTGAAGCATTTCGGCCGTGATGTCGTCGCTGCCTGGACTCTTGTTTTTCTTCAGCTTGTTTATTGCTTCTTCCACTTCACTATATAAAATGCCATTTGAATCGTCGTCGACTGGTGGAGTTATGTTTTCTAATTCTTCCATCATTTTGTTACCATCACCATCCTTATCTTGATATAATTCGGTACAGTACGTTGTCCAAGTTCGCATTATATCTTGTCTTGTTTGTGATAATGAGCCATCGAAGTTTTTGATGATGTTCAATTTTGGTAAATATTTCTTCTTCAACAGATTCATCAGTTGATATGCTTGCTTGCTGTTCCCTACTGCCAGTCCCTTTTGAATTGCTTCACATTATTCTTGAATCCAGTTGTTTTTTTCCATTCTCGGCGATTTCTTCACCTGGTTGCAGAGGTTTTTGTATCTTTCATTGGCGATCGACGAAAGATTTTTTGTTTGTTTTGCTTTTCGTTTTTCTTCTGCTAAATTCAATGTGTGAAGAGAGATCCAAGGTTTCTTGATTACTTTTTGAGTTGTTGTGTTTGTTTGTAATGCTTCTTTGATTGCTTGTTCGATTTGTAGAGCATGTTCGTCCAAATTGCAATTGGTGTCCATGTTGTTCAGATGATTTTCCAGTTGGATTTGGTATAAGTGTCGTGTTGTTTGGTCATTGAGTTGCTTTATGTTAGGTCGTCGGTTGTGTTTTGGTTTATTCAGTAGACTTTTCAATCTTAGTTTTATGTTGCACAAAACTAAGGAATGATCCAAGCTGATATCAGCTCCTTGAAATGTCCTACAGTTGATGACGGATGATTTCCAGCGCTTTTGAATCAAGATTAGATCAATCATGTTCTTGTGTAAACCATTCGGTGATTCCCATGTCCATTTTCGACTTGCTTTTTGTTGAAATGCTGTGTTGCAAATGAATAAGTTGTGTGATGTTGCGAATTCTAATAATTGTTCACCACGTTCATTTCGTTTTCCATAGCCATATTTGCCCATTGCACACTCCCAGCCTGCATTGTCATCACCCACCTTTGCGTTCCAATCACCAGTTATGATAAGTATATCTTTTTTCGGAGTTTTTAATATTGTACCTTCCAAGTCGTCGTAGAATGTTTCAATATCTTCTCTTGAGGCGTCAGATGTTGGAGCATATACATTGACTACTGTTTTGTTGCATGGTGTTGCCATGAATCTTGCTGTAATTAGTCTTGAATTTATTGGATTGTAGCCCACAAGTGCCTTTTGAGCTCTTGTGCTGAGTAGCATGCCCACTCCTCTGATATGTGTGTTACTTTCACCTGACCAAATGAAATCACCATTTGCTGTTTCACCTTTATCTGTCCAGCGCACTTCTGAAATGCCAATGATATCGTATTTGTAGCGTTTCATTTCATTTCGTAGTAGTTCCAATTTACCAGTTGCCCATAATGTTCGAACATTCCATGTACCGACCGTGAAGACATCCTTTGCTATTTTTAGTTTGTTGGAGATTGGCTTGTATGCTGTTATTGGTGCTGATATTCTCCGACTTATTGTTAACGTTGGTGCTGTTGATGTTCTCTGAGTTGTTGCTGCTGATATGTGGTTTGCCGTTGTTGTTTCTGAAGAAACGGTTGTTCCAGTAGCCAACTTTTCGACTCTGTCCTGGTTCCACGACAGAGGACGCGGACCTTGTTCACCCGGGCGACGTCCGAGCCGGTATGATTTCCGAAATTTACCGTTCATGGTTGGTTTCTTTCGTCTTTTCATTTTTACAAACGGCGGTATCTGCACCCCTTCCGTTTAACGCTCCTCCTTTTTCCGGACTTGCGCTCGGCACAGAAATCATTGGATTATGATTCCAGTGGTGGAGTTAGTCCAATCAATATATTTAAAAAAGATTACATCGACGCTACTCGTCAGTTCAACTGTACTTACTGAATCACTGCTTTCACAAACTCACAGTTTCACTTATATTCCCTTAGTTGATAAATATTCAACTTCTTCTGTAGTGATAGTTAAATTAATCAAATGAGAGTATTTTTTTCTTTATTCAATATTTTCATTCGGTGTAGGTGTCAGTGTTCGCATAGGCGGAGTTTTGTTTAGTCACTTGCACACAGATTCCACACCCATCCTACCCACCCCCAATCTAAATACACGGTCAAATGAACATCAACACATGTAACAACAAGTTTTGAAGAAAGTCAATTCTGTACCGAAACGTCAACACATCATTTTAACGTCAATCTTAATTAAATTAATGATTAATCAATTTTTTCTTTATTTTATTCTATTTATGTGTTCGGTGTTATTCAATTTTTATGTATAATATTAAATTATACTATATATTTAATTTAAAAAAACAGCAGTATTATTATTTTATTGGAATATTATATATTATTTACTATTTATTAAAATTTCATCAAATAATTATTAGATCATTAGCAGGAATCGAAAAAATTTCTTTAAGTTTAAAATAAATATGTGTCCTTCCTTAATCGAGTTCAATTGATAAAAATATTTGTTTCAAATGAGCGTCGGCATTGTTTTAATAATTGATTGACATTTCACGAGTGCTAATGACTGCAGCCATATAGAAAGTAACAATAACACAAAAGTTAAACGATAATGAATAGTACCGAGTTATTTTATTCAATGATTGAGATTTATATTCAAACAAATTATTACCTTGCTTTTTTCACCACAAATCATATTTTCAATAGAGAAGAGAACTTTTAGAGAATAAATATGTGTAATGAAAAAATTCTTGTTCAGTAGCCCATAGAACAATAAAATTTCAAATTTTGGGCAATGTTGAAAACTCTCCTGCGAGAAAAAAAGACAATCGACGCTTTTTCTATAATTAATTGAGTGTAACGGTTACTATGAGTGATTTGAAGTCTTAATGAGTATCAGTGGCTCAAATTTTCCAAAGCAGCCAATTATACCTCTCGCTCTTAGTTAAAGACTTTTAATAGAACTCATATTTGAGAAAGATTGTTATAAATGGATAT